CAACCATCAGTTGCCCATCTCTCGCCCTGTCATGATCTTTGCGTGCTATGCGCCAAAGTTTTATCCCTATTGCTATGTATTATTAATCAAAGGTCGCCGAGACAAAAGGAGATTTATCCTCTAATAATTTTATTCAGTTTCCCATTTACTTGTTTCCTCCCACGTCCTTTGTGCATAAAATGTGCTTGTTGATTAGTATCTTACTTATGTTTATTAGTATTTGCAACAATAAATTTTCCTGAAACAATCATCAAATGAAACAAGAGAGCGACGAAAAATAAAAAAAAGTAAATTGGCCACCTTAAAGAGTTTAAAGGCTGATGTTTCGAGCTTTAGCCCCTCGTCAGAGTTTAAAAGCCGACGTTTTAAGAGTTAGCCCTTCGCCTTCGCTCTGATGAAGGGTTAACGCTTGAAGCAGCCTTTAAACTCTTTACGGTGGCCAATTTACGCTTTCAATTCAGTTGTTGACACTACAAAAGACTGACATTTCTAAATTACCCTGTTATACTGTCCCACCGACGAAGCACCACAGTTTCCTTAGAAACTTACCCCCTTTATTCGTTTATTTGTTTTCGGTCTGCGAAGTTAACGCAAGTTTAAGAGTTTCCTTTTTAATTTAGTAAGTTATTCATTAGCGATTTACCTTGCAACCTCATCAAGGAGGCAAACTTAACGAACGTTATCGAAAAAATAAAGAAGTATTGAGTTCTAGTTTAAATCTAGTGTTCACTACAGCAAAGAAGAACCCGCAACCAGAATTGCCCTGCTCGCAAAGTGTGGTTTCGGAGCACAGCTGGTAATGGCGCCCAGCAAGCAGTTGATAGGCACCATTAGAGGCCTGAACGTTTTAGAGGCTTCTTCTCTTCAATTGCTTAAATTTGAGTTGAACCTGCGTGGATCATTTCTGCACTTGAATTTCAGCTTTCCCTTTGAATAGAGAGCGCTTCAGTAGCTGTGACGTCTCAATAGACAAAGCTAAACAAAAGCGTAAAGAATAACTCGCCTGGAGTTCATTTGTTTGGTAATCAATAGGTATGTTTTATAAAAGAACTGTAATTGTAGAGCCGAGTTTCAATGGTCTACGACCTTTAGTCTCTACTACATGGAAATCTTAATTGTTTGTGACTTTAACAAAAACTTTATACTTTAATATTTTTCCCGGATTGCAATTTGATGATATTTACACTTCGTGCCTATTTTGAGATTGACTTACAATATACCGGGTTAAGAGTCTGCCACGCAGACATATAAATCCTTTTTCTTGATGACTTTTAATCACGGATGCATGCTTTAATTCTTCCAGCGCTTTTTTCAGAGGAGTGGTCGGTGGGACGAATAATATGTTAGCGCGACGCGTTTCCGTCGCGAAATGAAGAAGACCATCCACTTCGATCTGTTAATTTAGCTTTGTGTTTGCTTTGGATGTTTCGCTTGTTTCTCTCTATTTTTCTTTTTCATTAATATATATTTTTGGCAAGGATTAGAGCGCTCTGCGACTGAGCATCGTAAAACCGGAAACAAACGCGCCACCACGGCCAATCAAAAGAAAGGAAGATATCTTTAATAGCTAATAAGAACTCAAGATGACCATTATTCTAACCCAGTTAATGCATTCAAAAATATCATTATTGAATGATTAAACAGTCGCAATTTCTGAGGTTCTGAATCAAGCAGATTTGTTGCGAAACGTGAACCCATGTCTAACAAGACGTGTAACACTGAATTACAAAGATTAACGCAAAAAAAATTGTTTTCTAAAAACAACGCAAAAATGTAGATGGGGCCCCAGATCGTTTAAAACCAAAATTGCGGTGTTAGAGGAAAATAACCTCTCGCGTCTCCCAGGGCTTCATATAGTGTTGTCTTAGTAGCCTTCCTCGGCTTGTATTTGCTAATGAAATTCTATCGGAGAAGGAAAACAATTTAACTCCGAGGCGGAGGTTTAATCACCCTTAACAATTCCACAATTGCAAACTAACTGAATACAAACATATCAACAGACTGATGTGTTCGGTGTTTTCCTATTTATTTGGCCTGTGGGAGGCCATTTTATCTTCGTTAATGCAATACGTTGATTGATTGAATAGTCCAAAATTTGGAAGTTCTAAGTCGAATGGGGACGTCGGGTAACATGAACCCTTGTGAAAAATTTATTCTTTTTTGAACTTTTCCACACCACACACTCGCACACAACAAAAATAACAGAATACAATGAGTTTTAAGAGTAAAACGTCAGAATCTCAGCTTGAGAACCTTATTCTTTTTTTACGACAGGTTTCTTAACACACTTGAAAAAATTGTTTTAGTTTTAGAGTTTTGGAATAATCGTTTTAAATATATGCGAACTTATTGAAGGCAAACGCGAATAATATTTTTTTAGCTCAAGGATACGACCTTTTCACCTGAGTTTTTCTTAATCCTTTAACTCCCATGAGTGACCAAGACAGAATTTCTCCTTACAATATCAATACAACATCAAGCAGACAAGTGATGAGAATAAAGAAAAATATTAGTTAAGGGTTTATAAGTTGATCCAACACCAAATTCTCCAAACCAACATCATAAGTACTTTATGGCAGACAGTAAGGAGAATTACTAATGAGATCTTGGGAATTTCAAGGGAATTAAAGGGTAAATCTGTCGATTTGAATTCTTTACTTTTCTATGAAGTTAATGCAAGTTTCAGAAGTTTCGGTCTTCATTCATTCAAATATTCATTAGTGAGCTATTTCGTAACGTTATAAAGGCAAATTTTACTAGCGTTGAAAAAAAAAAAAGCGGATTTTATTTTTTGGAATTTCAATGTGTTAATCAAACCTTGTCACATTCCAAAACTTATTGGAAGGAACAGAGAGAAAAATTAAAAAAAGAACGCAAAATTGAAAAAAAAATTGAAATAACTTAATACAGGCGTATTTCACAGAGAGTCACTAAAATTGGGTGATGGCCGTTACTGTTAACGGCGAAAATTTTGGCCATTTCACGACAAACAGTTAATTTTTTTTTTCCCAACCGACTAACGGTTGAAATTTGTCAATTTTTACGCCTGACGACCAATTTTTTTTTTGGCAGTTTTACGGCTTGCGGTTAACCCCATGGTGACCCCCATCATAGAATTAACTTCCAGCAGATTTTATCGAAAAAGGGTTTGTTGTTAAATTGATCAAATTCAAGACCACCATCGTTTACATCATGTACTTGTCAAACTGAATACTAGTTATCTATACCCGTTCTACACTTTGCAAATAGACAGCAAATATGGCGACGTTTCGTGGTTCCTACATGAAACTTTATTCATAGCTCTACTGTATACACACCAGCAAACACAAGCGAGTAGGCTTTCCACTGTTTTAGCCGTTTATTTTTAAGCAACATCTGCTGGTCTTTTGAGTACTTGAGTATATTTCGACATACATAAGGCTTATTCGTGAAGCTTCAGGCGGAGCGCGCACTCTGATTACGTCGCACTGTAGTAGCGTTATTTTCAATACGGCGGTGAAAGTGCCAGAAATCGGTAGATTTTGACTGAACATTCCGTAAAAGTTAGGGTGTTCCTTTTTTTCTATCATCATGGGTAAATGAATTTTGATTTATTCTGAATGCGTAGAATTATTTTACGTACGTAGGTCGGAAAGCAAAGGAAAGTCGACCGTTTAAGAAAGGTGCTGAGGGGCCTGAACGACTACTGCCAATCGCTAGTGGCGCTTTTAACTCTACTGCCTTCAAATTTCAGCTCTAATCGGGAAATTTTTTTTGCAATGTCATAATAGAGTTAGTTTAAAGGAGACATTTCCCCATTTGTGAGTTCCTGGAGTTTGGTAAAGCCAAATGAGATTGTGTTACAAAAGGCAACATTTACTTCTATGTAATTTATCTTTGTTTTTTAAGCGTACTTTCTCTCTTCGAAAATAACTCCAGAGATACGTTTTCGGCTGTGAGTGCAACTGCTGCCATTTCTGCAGTTTCGATTCTTTCTGAATCTTGTCAGTTGCCTCCTAAGAACGAATTCGTCGCTGTGGAATAACAGGAGTCGCGCAGGCCCGTCAACACTTTTTAATTTATCGACTTAACGGCAACAAGCGGTGAATCCCCATTATATTCAAAGTATATTCACGCCACTCTCGCTGCCATCAAAAATGTTCACCCGACCGCAACAAGATGCATGTGACTTACTGTTTCTTTTACGACCATGATGCCACGCAATCAGAATGCGCACACCGCCTGGTGAAGCTTTATACTAAAATCAGCTTAGTCAAAACAAACAGCAGGTTTCCTCGGTACTCGTAACACAGATCAAGTCTTCACTGGGATCTACAAGAGAAACGGGACATTTTTTTTCTTTTTTTCTCAGAATGAAAGCTTTTTCGCTGAATATAGAGCACCCACATGGCTGCGACAACTTGGTAGAGAAAGCTACACATAATGCAAGTGACATTTTTTAATGGTAATTTTGAAATAAACGAGGATGATGATGATATCTGTGACGGTCATGATAGTTGTAATCGGACAGTGTAATCATACAGTTGGCTGTAATCGGACACCTGTAATCAGACAGTTGAAGCAGCCAATCATACTAAGTCCAATTAGCTAAATCCACCAAATCACAAAATTAATCACAATAACTATAGCAACAACAACTCACCCTGAAAAAAAAACTGGATAATTTTCCAAATTTTTTATTTTAGACATTATCCCATCCGGTGATGTTTGTCTTAAACGTATTTGTTTTTTTTAACAATTTTTCGGAAACTGTAGTTGCTATGATTAACTGGCAACAGGACTTCGTATCGTCCAATTCTGTCAGGAATCATACCAGTAATTGACAAATCGGACTCCCGCTTCGCAGTCATCCGATTTTGTTAATCACTCGTTTGATTACAGACCAAATTGGACTTCACCTGTTACTATTACCATTACATATAGCAATGTTTGTCACCTTACAATTCTGACTACCTCCACCTACATGTTGGTCCCTTCTCTTCTTTTTTTTTCCATACCTGTTCATCTTGAAGCGGCATGTACTGTCCCTGCCCATAGGACGGAGGAACATCCACTTGCTGCGGTTGGTAACCGGGTGCTGCAGCTCCGGGTGAAGCAACTTGAACAAAGTGAGGCTGAGGTCCCACTGTGGCTCCAGACGCAGGGACTTGGACAAACTGAGGCTGACCTCCCACGACCCCAGAGGCTGGCATCATGACCATCTGAGGTTGGCCTCCTTGTGAAACCGTTTGAACCGCGACCATACCACCCGCTGTTTGCATTGGAACGGCCACATGACCTCCAGACACCTGGGCGACAGCATATCCAGTGTTGGCTGTGTACATAACTTGACCCTTGAGGGAAGAGAGAGGGGGGATTGGCTACGTTGATTTTAAAAGCTATACCAACCACTAACGAATGCGTTTAGTTAGACATCTACATTTGTAATGGGTAATTTGTCCAGTAACAATAACTCACCGACACTGAGGTAAATAGTTGATTTAGTATATACTAAAACAGGAAGATAATATAGGAAAAGGATATGATTCTAACTCATTTATTACCGCAGCGATCACAACATTTTCAGGCTTAAATGATCGGAGTTAAAAAGCAAAGGATACTCAGGTTTGGGTAGCCAATCAGATGTTAATGAGCGTGGGAAAGAAGGGAATGAGGATATACATTAATCATTGGAGGAACCAAGCAACTTTTCCAACTTCTAAGAGGACCACTGTTATTCAAAATTTCTCATTTTCAGTGAGGGCAAATGTGTATATATACTCAGATGCTAGCGCTGTGTATGGGTATGCAAACTTATTTACATCATGTCACCGAAAATATGACCAATCAGAAAGCCGATGTCTATAAGATCCTATTGAACCGAACCTTTCCACAGTGCGCAGGGACATAATTAGTATCCTTCAAGCGTTCCACCAAACGACTTAATTTAATGTACTCGGTGCTATGAATTAAAACTAATGAGTGTGAAGAGAATCAAAAAAAACGAAAACATCCACTCAAAAACCACTCAAATTTCTTTTGGCTGTTGTCACACTCATTCTGGTGAGCACTGCATGACTGTAACATGCTATGATGTAAATTTCAAAGACTCGTGTATGTACCGCGAAAGATGTACTCGTTGAAAATTGAATGATATGCCCTTTCAAAGTTTTGCATAGCTAATATATGTTTGACCAAACTTAAGATTCTCACTTGTTGCGGTGGGGCTCCACAGCAACAAATTTGCATTATACAGCAGCATACGGCGGCCCAGATTCCAATGGCAAATTCCACAATACCAAGAATCAAAGTTATTACAGCGAGTGCCATATCAGTGTTATGACTGTATCGTGGGTAGTAGAAGTAGTCGCTATATATAGCAATGGCAATGCTATAGCAGATGATGATGATTCCACCCAGAACAGCTGAGGTAATTGAAAAACCCATGAAGATAGATGCCTGAAATTTTGGTAGAAAATAAAAACGTTATTATGAAGAACAATAACTCCAACAACAACAACAAACAAGAAGGAGATGAAGAGGAAGGAGAACAACACAAAAAAAACAACAACAACAGCAACAGCGACAACAAAAACAGCAACAAGAAGAATAGTTATTCAGATTATCATTGCCTATATTTTCGGGATATATTTCACACTGACAGCGTGCAACCCGAGCTGAATACACAAATGCAACATAATATTGTAAATATCTTGTTACATTTGCACGCGTGAGTGTCCGCTTCAACAATTGTAACGGCACTAATTTCAAATGTTGTGATTGGATTTAAACTGATAGCGTATTATATATGTAACGTTTATAAATAAAGTCAACGAAAACAACAAAAAAATGAACTTAAGATGGCGTGGGTTATGCCGAAATATGTCTTTAAAAGATTTTCCGATGAATTTGAACTTTATTACGATTAACAAGAATAGTGTGTCAACAGACCATTGCAAACCTTTCTGCACCCTTCCTAGGGCTACTACGATTTGTGTTGTTGACGCATGAAAAAATCAACTTACAAAAACATTGCGAGAAGAACTTGGATCTCTTTGGGTACCAGGGATACCCAGACCACCAGTGATGCACATCTGAAAGGAAAAAAACATAGTCTTTGAATTGCACCACAAAGATAACTGTCATGAAAGTGTGCCTTCCAGAAAAACCATCCTACTCGTGCCACTTTTAAAGAAACCATAGAAAAGTATACAATACTGTAAAGCTTATAAGATGTAGATTATGAAAATAACATAATTTTTCACAGTTTTTGTTTTCATAGGCGCGCGCGAGCCTCTAAACACAAAACTGACGGTGTTTGCTTAACTGAATTCTAAGCCTCCACGTTACCGCAACAAATCTACATACCCTATTAGTTCGTTTAAGTACAGGTAACTCGCGTAAAAACAACCCTCGAGTTTTCGGCTTCCAAAGAAATTCACAGTTTCGAAACTCATTTAAGTGCGCGTCAATGCGGTTAAGCCGCGACCATTCTCCTTTTGGCTGTCTAATAGATAATCTTATTTCTTAACGTTTTGCGAAATGTGACAGAATTCCCCTTTAACACCTTCCGCTCGTCGGTAGGGGTAACCTTGAAACATTCTTTCAATTCAGCCGTATCTCGCGTTCTTCTAAGACTTTGTCGTTTTTCTTTTTCAATAAATTAAAGTTAACTACCTTCGTTGACTAGACTACGAGAAAACGGCTCTCTGAAATCCATTAATAAGTCAATAATCAATGATATTTGGCGGAGCCCGCGTCCCACAAAATCACTGTTCACTGATTCTTTGTTTCTACGCTCACTCGAGGACAAGGCTTGCGACAATGGCGAGGAAAGGACGATAAAAGTGAATTCCACAGGGTGTTTATTCTTTTTACTTACACTCCAACATCAGACATCAAAGTTAGAACGGGTTGATATGTGAAGCCAGTCCACGACGTGTCTCTATTTAAAAAGTAAATCGATGTTTTGCAATGCCTTGATTGGGATGAAGTTTGTTGGTAGTTAAATTCGATCTTTAGTAGTAACAAGTTCTTCGGCAAAAACGGTGACCTACCCGGGTATAAATAATAGAATTGTCTTCTTCCAAGTCCACAATAAAGCTCGATTTTATCCCAGAATTTTCTTAACACTTAAATGTGTTCGAATATGCGAAGAAAAACGGACGCCTGCCGGTAACCTATGGAATGTGTTGTTGTAAACAGTTTCGCCATGGGAAATGACGAGGATCTGAAACGGAAGCAGGGACAAAAACCTATCTGCCGTCCTAGGCGATGCAAGGTTAGCTCACGGTATCGATTTCCTGGTCGAACACGGTGCTTACTGCTAAAATTTTCTTGGAATTCTATTTGACATTCGGTGCCTATTTAAATAATGTCGTGACGTAAATGACGATATTGCGATTTTCACAAAGTTTCAGCCTGGTTTGTCCGTGCGGAAATGAACAGCCCTAAACTAATTTTTGTATCCTCGGAGACATTATCCACTTATCATAAGCTTAACCTGAACCAATTCTGAGTTATACCGCATAGAGAAAATGTTAATTGAAAAGTTGCTGCGAAATGCGATATTTCTATTTTGAAATGTTGATTTTCAAAAGCGTTCCGTGAGCTCCAATTTACATGAAATGGTCCCGTTGTAGACTTAAACCATCCCTCAATCCTTCCGATACAAATTTACCAAATTTGGTTCGACCTTGCCTTCTTTTGCACTTTTCATGTGCAAAGTTTATTTGCCCCTACTCAGGGCACTGATTTCCGCCATTTTACGGCTACCGACGCTCGTTTCAGTTTTCGCGAATTTTCTCAAATAAAGAAGCAAGTCTGGGAAAGAAAAAAAAAAGGAAAACCGAGGGGCCCAGTTTTTGGACAAGTTTCTGCTCCCAGCATTGGGTATTCATCGGATAACTATTAATCACACACACTGGAAGTGCTTGACTTCCATCTTCCTGTACAACAGAACACTCACAGTGGCCATGAAATCAAGCAAGTCAGGAGCTCAACCTATCATTTCTTTAATAAGCTACTGCAGCTGAAATCTTCAAGGGAGGATTAAGTCCTATTTCTTGTTACATGAAAGACATAAAAACCAGCAGTTCCAGTTTTCTGTACAAATAGGCTTCTGCACTGTTCATCAATCTTGTCTAGAAATTGATATTTGGCACATGCTTTGACAGTATTTGCATGATCTGTCAACTAAATATAAACAGAACTCTCCATATTTTGATAAATATTTTCATTTTGTATGAATTAAACTCTGTTGAATGTTTCTGATCATAGTAAATTGCCGGGATAAAAATATATTGACATGGAATTTTTAATGACAAACATGTATATTGTAACTGAGAAAAAAAATGCTTATCAAATGCAAACCAGCTGTAATTGTATATGCAGCATCATGTAACACCTTAATACTAAAGGACTTCTGGATTTCTTTGGCCACCCTTCTCAAGTATTTCAATCCCTGTTGATTGCTTGGTTAAATTAGTGTGAAAGTGTAGGAGATGGAAAAAGAGGATTTCATGTTTCACAAGTTCATTTCACATGTCAAACTCTTTTACACTTAGTACATTTCTGTACACTTGCAAGACCTCAACAATTCCTTCTTTTCTGCTTTTCACTTAAAAAAATTAATATCATGATTATTTCTACATCTTTGACAACAATGAAGAAGAGGAACAGCTTCCCACCATTGCAGCACGCAGTGGCTTTAGCTGGATGTTTCCTCACACATCAAATGGCAGTTTACAAGTGAAAACTTTCACACACACAAAAAATTAAGCAGCAATAGTAACAACAGTAAAAACAATTCAAATTTATGGTTGTTAATGCTCTACTTCTGGCCCTTCTGTAAATCACAGTTCCTGTGTGGAGTCTATTGTTTTCCTATCAACAAATCAAAAAAATTTAACTAATCAATTCTCCCAGAGGTCATTATTTGGCGACCATACTGCTGACAAGGAGCCAAAATGACCCTGGGCTCAAGATTGATGCTGATCGAGCCGGAATAGAGTGTGAAATCTCACTTAGAAACAAAGAAAATCTAAGCCAATCAGACCTCATTCTAATGTTCTGCATTAGTTACAACGCATACGAGCGCTGCTTTTGCTTTTTGAAAGCAAAACAAACTCGCCTTTTCTTCTCTTTTCAACGCTGTAGTTTTTAAAAGAATATGGCTATAGATTGTGATCATAACTAATTGATATTCATGAAAAAATTGGGACAAGAGAAAAAGTCTGGATAATCAAGGTCCAGAAAATCAAGGTTTCCACTGCAGTCATTTTCCTGTCCACATGCCACTCATCACGCAGTCTCGCAAACAAGTCACTCATTTAATGCTTCAAGAAAGCAGATGTCGCCGACAATTACAGCTTGCCGCTAAAGAAAACGTACCACTAAAATATCCGAATAGTGGTAAAATTGTTGCACCCTATCTCATTTTGAGGCAATTACAAAATTAAAGCAAATTTCTATTGTTGTCAGGCAACCCAAACTTTACTTAAATGAAGAAACCATCGACTCAATAATGAGCTTTGAACAGATGCCCAAGCACTGTCTTAACCTGTCTTGATGGAAATAATGGAAATATTTTGAATAACAAAATAACATTATTATCATCATAATCGAGATTTTTTTTTTTTTATGCACGGAAGGAATCAACAATAATTTGATATTCAATAAAAGCACAAACTGCCATGGCTATGGAAAAAAAAAAGCGGAAAAAAAATTAGAAGGAAAAATCACGAATACCTCAGAGAAGAGCGGACAAATTTTGGAAATTTGCATATAAATGTGGCAAATTTGCATGTAGTAGCTCCACTCATTCGTAACGAAATTGCATTTCGACCAGGCTTGTATTTCTGACAAACTTCACGATAGAGTCATACGAATTATCTCAAATTCACAATGTAAGCTTTAGATAATGCGATATTTACTTTCTTCCAAGGTGAAGAGTTTCGCAGCTGCAGATTTTAGTTTCTTGTTCCAGATGACAAATACTTCAAAATATTGACAGCCCGTACAAGTGAGTTTTAAACTCAATAATATAACGTCGGTCGCTCAAATTTCTTTTCCGAAGCGGTTGAAACGATATTTCAGTATCACATGAAAATAAGGTGGCAGCATCTTTTATCATTCTGCACGAATATAATACCATCCTGTACGAATATAATACCGGCTATATGTAATAAATAAAGCCTGTGATGTAAAAACGAGGCGACTGAAGCGTCGCGAAGAAACTTACCCAAATACCGATCCAAATCCCAAAACACACGTAACCTGTCCAAAAATTCTGAGTTACGTAGTCTGCGATGCCAAAGCAGAAGAGTAGAACGCCGACAATAATGTGGGTGATGGCGAGATACCTTCCCATAACAGCAACCTTCGCCGTTTGGTCCGCCATTTTGATACGCAGACGACGTTTTGATGAGTGCTTTTTGACGACGTCATCAACTAAGAATAAGCGTTTGACAGTATGTCACGAGATATTTGTTTTATTTTTAATGAATCGATCAGAAACGGATCTTGCTAAAACGATTAAATTGATTCCATTACAGACATTTTGCAGCCAGAATGAAACGGGCATCGTATACATATTGATAAGGAAGAAAATCCCTTTACAACAGGACTGTAATTATCTCCTTCGTGATCACCTCTTGTCAATTGTAATGTAGACATTCTAGTCACGCAATGATTTATCACGCCAAGTTTTTGAGAAGATCGAGACGGTCACGAAAATTAAATACGGAGAGAAAATGAGGGATATGAAAAAAATTAACAAGGCCAACATGTGCATTGAACTGCGATATAATTTCCTGAGTAGAAATACCTCGTTTGATGCCAATATGTGAAACCTTTCAATAACTTATCTATATTCAATCATGGCTTCCCATGTGGTTCCAATGTGTTTAATTATAAATCACATACGCTACATGACAGATTTGGTAAGAATGATAAAATCTGCTCTTTCGGCTTTCAGTCAACGGCGAGTTCTTCGCCTAATCACGGCAAAAAAGAATCTACTTCTTCGAAGTAATGAACCGAAAAGTGAAATGATGAAAAAAATATCAACTTACCTTGGAGATTCGAGGTGTTCGAGTTATGATATTGCTGCGTAAGTCGCTCAGAATTTAGTTTCTTTCTTAACTCACCAGCAGTTCTTGTTTTTCGCTGTCCCTCGCCCCGGCTCTTATTTTAAGCTTAGCACTATAAACCCAGTATTTATGAACACGCTGTGCATTTTTTTTTTGTCATTTCTGTTAAGGGGATTTAATTACCTATTTACCGTTTTAATTTATTCAAGCTTGTACGGTTTTCACTTTCGTCGTGTGTGATTAATTAAAACAGGATATGGACACTGAGCAGGAGACTTTTTTTGCGGAAGATTATGACCATGGAGTTAATGTTCAGTCACTGTTTACTCCTTCTACATATTTAGGTCATCATTTCCATCATTGTTTTTGTTGCACATGAAACTGCGTCACTGCTCTGATCATGGCATTGAGTGTAAACATTGCACTTCGTTTCACTTAAGTCATGGGTCTAAGCTTTAGTTTCTAACTGCAAAAGCTAGGAAAATCTGACCATTTTCATTGCGTCTTGACTTTCACTTTATCTGTTTATTTGAAAATAATTCTATGTTCTTGAATGGCCTTGATCTAAGTAGTTTTATGTGATTGTTCTTATGAGCGTGTTTTTCTTGATCTGGAGATCGCATATACCATCTGTGTTCAACCTGTGTCATTTTCCCAAACAGAAATTATAAGTCACGCTCAATAGAATATGATTTCAATTGATACTGACATCACACACTTCATCTGACGAAGAAAACATTCCCTATCTTCGAAAAGATAGAAGATACCGTTGACTAGCATGCGGGTTGATCGCTTTACAAGTTGTGAGAACGTCGTGTCCTGGTTCCAGACCTCTTCAATTCCCCCGTCCCCCCCCCCCCCAGCCCCCCCTGGACCCGAAATCCCCTTGAAGAAAATCTTCTACAGCCAGTGCTAAAGTGTTTCATTACAGTTTTTATTCAGTATAACGAAGGGCTGGAAAATAAACTAACAAGAGCTCCACTTTTAAGCTTGGCCGGATTTATATATTACCTGAACGTGTTTTTCTTGATCAGGAGACCGCACATATCATCTGTGTTAAACCTGTGTGAGGGAGGACGAGTCACTCTCTACGTTTCGAGGATGCGAAGCCCTCCATACATTCAGGTACAAGTTTCTTTAGCAGTTTCAATGTTTTGTCTGGATTTTCTACTGCATAGATGATGTGACCGATGTCTCGCATACATTCCTGTTGTTAAAGGTTGCGTTCTCAACGAGCGAATGAACTTACCCTGCTGAACAAACCTTTCAGTGTAAATATTCAAGCAGGCGCACGGACCGTCGTAATCACCAATGTTTGCGCACGGTAGTACATAAATGTGGGTAACGCGTTTCGGATTATTTGAGACTATTTTCTCAGTGAGAGTTTGTGAATGTCTGGTCGGCGTTACTCTCGCCGGTTTTTTGTAAATTCTGGGTCGGATAAAGCGTACCTAGCAAATCCAAGCACTGGTGTACTTGTAAGAGTCGGTAAGTTCTGAAAATAGAATTTCAATTTGTGCAAGCCAGTCTTGAGCATTTTACTCTCGATTCAAGATTTGTAAATTTTCCAAATAAGTTAGTTGATGTGCTTGTTCCGGCCTTGTATTTCTAGTCAGAGATGTCCTATGTCAGGACATCTAGATGTCTTTGCGCAGTTTCTTTTTAATCGACTCCTTAATGCACGCGCCTACTCCTCCGCCTCTGATCTCATCTCCACTTTTATAAATTCATTAACATATCCAGGGATATAAACGTCATCCTTCAGCCACGTTTCATAAAAGGTCACTAGATCATGACCGTAGGTTCGGACGGTAAGAAGCAGACCATAAAAGATCAAAGTCGTACCCTTACCGGTTCTCTATAAGGAATACCAAATTTTTTCCTTTTTTTTTTGTTTAATTTTGTCGTCGAAACTGGAGAGAGAGGCTTTATTGTAAATAACTCATTAAACTCTCTTTGAAAGTTATTTAACTTTGATTAACTTTGGAAGGGGGGGGGGAGGGGACGTAATTTACCCTTTCTCACTAGACCCGTGGGTTTATCTAACTATGCGTGTTTGACTTTAAAATTCTTGCAACAACAGGATTGCACATTAATTCACAGTATATATGAAAAAGAGACTATCCTCAGTTTATATTCTCCTAGTTTGAAGTAATAAAATTTTAGAAATATACTTTCTTTAATCTTGAAATATTTTATAGCTTATTTATACTATATACATATTGTTAGAATTAATTTCTCTAACACTCGTTTGTGGTTTGGTTGATCCTTCTTTATTTACTTTTCTTATCAAGTTGTTACAATAAGGACTAGCTTCGATAAAATAGGGAAAACTAGAGTCTCCGCTTATAAAGATGACACTGCCGATGACATTTCGAAGCCGTCAATCTTCTTGTGTCGTCATCGTACCGTCTCAACTAGCGAATCACGCTTGACTACGTATTATAGTTCCCACATACTGAGTAAGCACCTTAGGGTGGTCTACGTTACAAAATCAATTTCTTCCTTAATTTTCATATCTTTACGGTTGAGATTGGCCAGAACAGAAACGAGATCGACAATACAAAAATTACAAATAACCTTGGTGTAGAGTATTATTTATACCTAAAAGTGTATCTTAAGAGAAAATCACCTTTAAAGATTGTTACATAACAACATCTTGGTCACAAGAGTTAAAGAAGAAAGGCGCTCACAAGTACCGCCCCCAAATTGCTTCTTGTTGCGAAACATGAGGGGTATTACCTGTTTACCCTTAAATTAACTCTGGGAACACGAAGGTGTCGAACGCGACCTATTACCAGGGAGATTTACTCTTCCTGGACTAACAAATTAACTTATTTAAGAACATGGTTTATCACGAGTTCCATGTCAACCTCACGATCACAACGAAGAAAACGTGATTTCACTCACTAGGTGAACGTGGCCAAACTCACAAGAAGAACGTGATCAAACTCGACCTTTAAGACAAGACCACCAAGAAGGAGTACGAAGTAATCAACCTGCCCTTTTTATAATTTACATTAAATGACTATATATAATATAATATTTCCATTCCTTTTCTTTCTAACACCAATACAGAAAACCCTTACGATATTGTAGATTAACTATAATTGTAATTTTATCATTTAACAATATATATATAGAATAAAAAAAAGATATCTATATTTTCTAAATCAAAATTAAATCCCTGAGACACTGGAGCTGTAGGCGTGGCTCTAGATGTAGGGAACTGCATCACCTGTGAATGACCTCCCATTGCTCCAGATGCAGGCACCATGATCATTTTAGGCTGGCCTCGCTGTGGTTTCTTTGCCTCAGTTTGCTAGACCAACAGGGTTTTGCATTGGAACTGCCACAGGACCACCAGGCCCATAAGTCATGGTTGGTTGCATCATTTGTCCATACGTCTACAAATAAGAAAGAAGAGGATTCCCATCTACGCAGATTTAAAATTACACTTCTAGAGAGCAAGGTTTGGCGCTCATCCTTTCATATAATTGTAAGTTTTCATACACATGCAAATTAAACTTATTTTCATACTTATGGTTGAGTACCAAGCCTCGTTTTGAAAAAGAGGCAAAAGGTAATTCGGAATTGGCCTATTGTTGTTATCAAGTGATCTTCAATTTAGCCGAGCCTTTTATCTAAACATCTTTTTTTTGTGAACAATGTCAAGAGGGTCGAAAGCCAATATTGAAAGGACACGAATTCAATTAAATTAACCCTCCTATAGAGGCCCACTGCTTGCAAATAGCCGGCCTTTGATTAGGCTCACCTGTCGAGATTGTGCGTGACTGTAGCAACACGCGCACACCTTCATTGCGCAACAACAGATAGCCGCCAAGATTCCCATGAGAAACTCTAAAATCCCAATGAACAGAATGATGCCAGTGATTGAATATTTAGCCTCTTCTATCGAATAGTAGGAGTTGTAATAACTGTAGTAAGAATTTGAGTGAATTGCAATGCTGTAGAAAATAATGATTATTCCACTAAGCACAGATGAGGTGATGGAGAAGCCCATGAAGACACTGGCCTATAATTGAATGAGAGATGTTAGTGTTACCGAAAAACGGTCTCGTCTCATGATTTAAGATTTAACAGAACACGATTGCAATTAAGGTTGGGAAGTTGTTAGATGTTCTAAGCACAAACTCGATTGACGTCAATCTCGCCAACTGAACTTGGACTCGAATGGACGTGTCCATACCAACAAAAGGACTTTTATATGATCTTAGGGGTCAAAGAAAAATCACGGGGAAAAAAACCTAAAAGAGTTTAGGTGATGGTGGGTGAAAATAATACCCAAATATAGGGGGGAAATATCCACAATATGAATCATATAATTCATGGTTTTGTATGATGCAAAGCTCGGCTAGCTCTCACTTATGATCTAATGGAGGACAGAAGCGCAAGTGACGTCAACTATAACAAAGGTTTATCTTTTAATCATCAGTAACAGATAGATTCCATGTTCCCGCGAGTCTGTGCAGTGACATATCACAGAAGACGTGTGTTACCGATTTTGTTGCCATATTGTTACGTCTTCGGTTATTTCATTGCGTGGCAGCATGGAATATTTGCTAAAGTGAGAATGCGAGAGGGATGTTTATCTTTAAAGCGGCCGTTACAGACAATTTAGTGAAGATTAAAAGATTTGTCAACTCACAAATATATCTCGGGAGTTAGTTCGTTCCCTGCGAGTACCAGCAACACCCAAAATTCCCGTGATACCCATCTAGAGACAAACAAACAGCATTAGCAAGCCGGAGTAGGCGATGAGGGAAAATGGAAGTATTTAAGAAAAGCTTATCAAATTTAATGTGCAGTGGGGAAGGATAAAGCTTTTTGATATTATTTCCGTGTCGACTGAACAGTCCCTTAATTTGCCTGGCTAAAAAAATTCGGAATGAGTAAGAAAGGAAATTTGATGAGGAAAAACGTTTAGCTCCCATCCGTCAAGGTCTCTTTTGTTTATGGATGTCCAGAAAATTGCAAATGTCGGCCACTTGCTTCAACTTGTTACTTACACTAGCATTTGCACTTTATATCAACTGCCTGTAATCAATAGTCGTGGCTGGTATCTCAATGCTAAGGAAGTGTTTTGGTTTTGGTACAGTCTAGGCTTCCTTTTATCAGATACAACTGATGGAAGCATTCGAAACAAATTAAAGTATTAAAGTATTACTCAAGTTATGAAATATTATAAATTATTAATTATTATTAATTAATTAATTAATTATATAATAATAATATAATATAATATTATATATTATATAAATTAATAATAAATATTAGTTTATAATATTATAATATATTATATTATATTTATAATATATTATGAAATATTAAGTATTACTCAAGTTATGAAATTGATATTCAAACATAAATCTCTTCATGTAAGCTGGAAATAACTGTTCATCGGCCTGATGGTTGAAATTAAACAGTTTCAGAGTCCACATAGATCTTGGACCCTTCCAAGAATGGCTTGAAGAGCGAACTATTAATGAAACTAATAACATTGTTACTGTTTATTTGTTCTCTTGCAGTTTATTTTTTTTTATTCATACTCATTCCACTTTTAATCCTGATTATTGTATACGCATAGTTTAATTTATTGTTTCAATTATTTTATCTCCCAGATTTGTTTTATTTCCTTGTTTGGTAATTATTATTTTTCGAGCTCTTGGTTTTCATAGGCGCTGGTTGTTGAAAAAGGGCTGACCCTCCTGTCAGTGAGCAGAATTCCATTCTTGTCCTTAATTTTGTAAAACCACACCATGGATAATCTCTACAGCTTTGACGTAAAGGTCTATTTCATGACAATCAGATTGATCAAGTGAGATAACTTGAGATGGAAAAAGATTGAAAGACTCTATGGACAGGGGTCATTCTGGAACTTCAATCGTCCCCTCTTTCCTCCCCAGCATTTTCTAATTCGCAAGGTGGAGGACCATGATAATCAATTCCATTGGATAATGTTTCTCCTTCGGGTACATCTGGGTCAAAATGATACTGAATTTCACCATACATGTATCATTGAGCAGATGTAATTCGCAAGGTGGAGGGCCATGATAATCAATTCCATTGGATAATGTTTCTCCTTCGGGTACATCTGGTCAAAATGATACTGAATTACACCATACATGCATAATTGAGTAGGTGTCATGTTCGATTTAAATCTGAGAGAATGGTTATCAAAGTCATCCTGGAAATACATGATGCAGTCAAAATAAGTGCAATTCATTACTTGACTCAACGTATCCTTTATCTTTAAGAAACGGAATAGATGGTAAAACACGTTCTCAGGTGAAATGAATTCCTAGTAAGAAAGCTATTACCCTGCGAATGCCACAGTTTGGAAAATTTTGCAAGGTTCTCTTCACAAAGTCGTCCAAACAGTCGTCAGAAATATCACTATAATTTTGGTACCCCCAGCGCATGTGAAACAGTCGAATTCATTCACTATTTGTTTTCCTGCCTGTGCAAAACATTTCTGCCATTTTTTCAAGTAAGAATCCTCAACTGAAGTACAAATTAATATTCTCTCGTGGTACATTAAAGGCTGGTCGCCTTACTTCACCAGAATGTATTACTAGCAAGGTTCGAGAACATTCAGCACTTTGCTTATTTCTACTTTTCAAACACAGATAACTGCATGACTCCATCAAGAGGTCGAGAGCATCATCAAACACACTGCCTTTTAAAACGATTTGACATTGAATGCAAAACGTCAGAAATTGATCCACCTAGTACAAAGCATGATTAATTTCGTTGCGGTCATTACCGAAACCGGTGCACTTTCCAACATTTGAATAAAATTAGAAATGACGTTCTCCAAAAAAGAGTTAACGTTAGTTGAAGGAGAACTCAGAGTGCTAAAGGAAATTTTCACAGAAAGAGACGATACACAACAGGACGATTAAAAACGTGGTTACCATTGGTCACCGGCAGTGACTACTACGGCACGAATTACGTTTCAACGGTACGAATTACGTTTCAACGCCACGAAATGTGGAGTGACTCAAGAAGCGACATTAACACGCCACTAAGATAGCTCCACGTAGTATGACTCGACGACACAAGCAAAGGATATTAATTTTGTCTTCGATTTGACTCCATAATCCAACATACTCTACGATTTCTGAAATCATCCCACCGTTTTTAACACAATTCCGAAAATTATATCGTGGCAGAACACAATAAGAAAATAGGAGTCATTTTAGACAAACATCTGAAGTAACTAGTCAATTACACTGTACGTAGCCAGTGTTCAGTTATGTCGACTGATTTAAATGACGTATGAAACAAGTCGCTACTTGTACCCACAACTCACCCATACACCGGTCCAAATTCCAAAACATAGGTTGCCTGTGAAAAAATCAGGAATAACATAGTCTGCGATACCAAAACAGACGAGAATAAAGCCTAGAAAAAGGTGTTCTATGGCAAGAAACCGCCCCACGGAAGCTGCCAGTGCTGAGTAGTCCGCCATGTTTGCCCAGCAGATAAACTTTCCGGAATATTAGAGCTCCAGTTCCTTAGTGAGTGACGTCAAGTTCCCACTGTCACGTCACGCTAAATCAGAATGGAAGCCTGTCAGAGTCCGGCAATTATAAAGAGCACTTCAATTTTTGAACCAGTGCTTGAACTGAATTCGAAAAAAAAGAGTTGAAAGACGAAAATTTGTTTAGCGGAGTCTTTTTTCTTCTAAGTTTTGTTCTTTCCTCTTGTTCAGATCAGATGCGTGTGTTTGTCTGTGTAGCTTTGTTGTTTTCTGTGCGGTTTTTATAGGGTCACCAATAATACAACTGTCAAAAGAAGGTCAGATTGCAGATGTTTCTTTTTCTTTCTTTACTGATGGTAAAACAAGTCGACTTTAAAAACAAAGTTCTGATTACCATGCTTTTGAGAAATTTTTCTTGCTTAGCGTGCTTATGCAGAAAGTTACGTAAACGTGAATTTGAGAGTTAATCGAGGCGCCGAGTGTTCGATACCTCGATATATGCGTAGCCAAAAGTAATTATTTCCTAACGTAGCATACACATTTTCTGCGCGAAAAATGGCTTCTCTTTTTTTTGTGGTCAGCTGTAATTTTCTCACGCTGTATGGTTAAGAAACGCATTCAAGCAAGAACGTTCCAACTGGTTAATCAAAAAATTTCCGGCGAGAATTCTTCTCTTTAGAATTTGCTTCTTTCGATGAATTACGGAATATGTGGGCAAACAGAGTCGTAATACTTAAGTTTTGGTTAAAATGTTTGCGGGTAAAAGTCAAAGGGTTTCGTTTATTTGAATGATTGTTTGTTTTGACTTGGTAAATTAGCCATGAATGGACTGGGTCAACCGTTTCAGGGTGGACCTGGGTATTTCCAATGATACGTAGAGGGAACGTATTAGGCTGATAGTCCTGAAAATATTCCATCATCAATGATTGTTTCGAGTTCCTCTACACTTCACTCATCTTTTGCCTTGTGGAACGAAGGCTAGGCTTGTCGTTAAACTGCAGCTGTTGAGCCCGGAACAAGGTAAAGATACAATTTATTTACTTTACACCAACAAACAGTGGACATCTGTAAAAGCGGATCCCGCAGCACGAGCAGCGCAGCATCATAATTAAGCGAAATAGTAGTAACCCATCAAGGCGAAAAAATTTGGACTCACGACTGAACGACAGACCGTCCAAAGAGATACTTTTAGCATGCGCGGTCAACTGAACTGCGAGAACGTCAGTGTCATAGCTTTACTCTTGTCCAGCAGACGTATGAGCACGATGCCGTGTGCGCAACACCTGTTCAAAGCCGAGGAGACTCTGGGTGAAGAGTGAAAAGGTACATTTCTAGCGAAGAACAGCTTTAAGAGGAGAGACAGAGGGCTCGAGAAAAGCGATGGAAAAGAACTCTAGAACAGAAAATGAAATTGCAGGAAAGGTCCCGAGTAAAGTGGCGAAGATCTGACGAAGAACAGCGTGAGAAAAACAGGCAAAGAGCTCGGGAATACTGGCGAAAACAAAGTTAAAAACAAAAGGAAAATGAACTACTGAGAAGAAGAGACAGTGAACGAAGAAATAGGTAAGAAAAGTTGCCATCTGAATTTCGTTTGAGCTTGCATTAAATGCTGCCTGCTTTAAAAAAAAAAAAAAAAAAAAAAAAAAATTCCGATAATCATTTATTAGTACTTATGACATACACCTGTAGTTGAAGTAGTGCAGCAGAGTTTAGAAACATTCGATATATCCATGAAAATACATTTGAGCTGGGAAAAAAAATAAGAAAAAATTATGTAATTTTTTAAGTCTTATACGTTTTGTATTTACACTGATAACTATTCCTCAAAGACAGTCTTTAGTGCTCTATTGTCTAATTACATATGCACTAGAAACTACCTAGTATTAAAGTAAGTTTTTGGCTATCACTAAATATGAAGGGTTTTAGAACCAGTGTACTTCTTTTTGTTAACTCTCATTCATGACCTTTGAACTATGTAACATTTGATTGATATACTACTTTACAGCTTTTTTTTAAACCTCAAAAAAGTTTGAATTGTGTTGTTCCAGCAACTGGAAAAATTTCGTGTGTACAACTGTCACATACATCGATAATCTTAACAACTCCTTGCCCCTGGTTTTCATTCTTGCATTGCGTATTAGCATACATGTATACACCATTCACAGCTTGGCTGCCATAGGGTGACTTCAATATTTCCTGAAACAACGCATGTCAATATTCCTTTACTTAAAGAAACCGGAGGAAGAGAATTTTTAAAAGTGGCTTTCAAATTCTGCAACCTAGTTTAGATGAGTTAATACCTGGTAAAGAATTGCGAATATTTTATTAACTTACGGTAGTAGTGGTGCCCATAAATTATGTTTCGGAAATAAAAATGTTTATCCATGTGATGCTGTTGCAATATATCCGCATTTTATGCTCATCCACACGGGTAACCATTTTCCCTCTGGAAGTATTTCGCCGCGAAGTTTCGTAACCAAGGTAATGGACACACCTCCGTCACACCTCTTTATTGCTCCAATGAGAACTTGCGTTTAGTTTTCCCAGAATGCCTCGGCAATCGTCACGCCACAAGTTCATCTTCACTACAGATTTTTGAGTGAAACGCAGATGCCTAGTATTTCTCCTTCCATTAGCGGTAAAAGTCCTATTTTGTATGGGAGATCTTATGCTAGCCTTTTGTAGTGTGGAGTTTTTCTTGCAAGTCTGTATGACCGACTTTAACTCGTTCAGAAGAGGTGAGTTCAAAGTAGTTCGTAGCTTGGTCAACGAGGAGTCGTATGGAAATTATCCCTTCGTAGCTCAGTTACAGTCAGCCTCTCTCGCTTCTCGGCTATGCTACTGACGCGTTTTGATAAGTACTGTTAACGACGTTGACAAAAATTCTTATTTAAGTGATTTGTCTTTGCTTTTATTTGTATGTTAATTTTTGCAATTGTCTTTTAGTAATCGGTCCGTGTTTTTCGTTATCTGTCCAATAATTCATTAAAGAACAAAGTTATTGTGGAAACTCCGAGATTTGAGGGGTACCCAATATGGCAATAATGCATAAATCAGCCCAGGTGGTGGAATGTGCGTAGGCAATTTTATCACTAAACATGTGTATGATGGTTGATAGTGTCAATCCTATCGAAATGTATCCAAGCTAGTTCTTCTAGCTGAAAGATTTAGGAGAAATGATTCGAATAGTTATCAATTATCTGCTCAAAAACTTCCACAATTCTGCAAAGACACTGGGTTTGGTGCTGGGTTAAATCCTAAATAGTAGGGGCTACATGTATACCACTTTTTAGCAGTTAAGAAAATTAACGTAACTAATTGCATCACTATAGGTCAAGATAGTCTTGAGGTAAATACTGGCACTGAATTGGTTCTTACTCGCTTGGTACCTTTGCATATGGAGCGTTTCCACCAAAACGATCATAACCCATGTATTCTTGCTTTGAAAGGCACCGAGTTTGAAATTAAAAAGTTTTGTAGAAGTGCGATATTATAAATCATTTGCTAACTTTGCTTGATCGAGTTCCACGGAGGAATATTAACCATCTGTTTTTGTTTTTTTGTAATGATCTCAGGAAAATGTTCTCCAGTATGGCCTTCAAGCTTGGTAAGAAGTTATAGCTGAATTCATTTGCTGCAGTGACATAAAACGAGTGAGAGATGGTTGATTTTATTTTAGTACTTGTAATAAAAATGTAAGGTGAAGTGATGAGCATCATCCACTGCCCTGGCCACTGCTACCTTGCCCCCCCCTCTTCCTCTTCTCTTGACTCCTCCTCTTCCTCAGGGAGAGGCACACTCTCCCTCCACAGTTGAAACATTTCTTATTTCTCTGAGAGGAAAAAAAATTGAAATTTGTGATAAGACAATGCTCTTGTAAGGAGATGTTACCCAACTGACAACTATACTCACAAGATCTAAATAAATAACCTATTACGGAATATCCCTATTTGTATGATCACACATATTGATCTTACCTACAATGCCTGTATACTGCAGCTTTTGTTGTAATTGGAAATATAATAGTCTTAATATATGTATGTATCGAAAACCATTGCAATGGAACTTCAAGGGGTTTTTTTATTTGATCTTTATTTAATTTTATTTCTTTGTCAAAAGTCAATAATAATCATATAGCATCACCTTCTTTTTCTTTTCACCTTTAAATCTTTGAGAAATTATCTTAATCCTCCAATTTAGAATTGTTTAGAGAGGAACTTATTTTAATACAAATAAGGATATACACTATAGACTGAGTAATATCATTCATGGCTCTAATTGAACGAATGATGTATTTGACAGTCATTAGCTTCCAATCTTTGTTAGTCAGAAAGAAAAAAACTTAGTATGTATGAAATGAAAACATCATCTTGTGAAAGTGCTCAAACAATTTTTATCCACATGTTGTATTGATCAAAAACCTCACTTAAGTTCACTGCCCTCGCGTGGGTGTTAGTTAATTTTTTTGATGCAATGCAACTCATTTGTGCACACTTTCCATAGAATAATCTCTATTTGTTGCAGATTAAAAAACATTTCTTGGGCCCCGAATTGTTTCTAAAATTTAATTTCTTTTTGCATGAACAATTGATAAACTTAAGATTTTCTGAACACTGTAGAAAATGACATTTAAAACAAATGTTAGCCCAATTTATCGTAATGTCAGTTGTTGTTAGGTTACTGTTTACTTTACTTTACCATTCCTCTTCTTCCTCCCCTTCTCTTTTTGTTATTTTTCTTGTCCACATCTATTTCATAAAAAAAATAAATACTTGATTTGAACAAGTTTATTAAAAATACTACTCAAGTTCTTTTATTGTATTAGAAAAGGTTTCTTTGAAGTGACAGTACTGAACCAAGTGATAGTAACATTACAAAATTATGAACTTCTACTCTATTGGAAATGGCTAAAGGAAAACAGTTTGCCAACCAAACATCATTTTGTATTGCTTAGACTTTAACAGAAAAGTTGTATTTCAAGAAGGCTATGGTTACCTTTCCAACTTCCTACAGATGGGAAAGACTATTCATTGTTTACAGGTGCATGACATTTTGTGGAATCACAGCATTATAGAATAAAAGAAAATATTACTTTACAGTTGACACTTACCTAAATCCCTACCTGCAGAGAGTGGTCCTGTAGGAAGATCTTTGTGATCTGTTGTATAAACAGTAAGGTATTTTATTTAAATCATGGTAAAGGAAAACAGCAAGCTAACCTGACACAACTTCACAGCACAGTGTAATTGTGTTTCAAGGAGGCCATGATGTCACTTCTCTTACTTCTTGAAGAGAGGATAGATTATAAATTGTTTACAGATGTATGCGTTTTGTGGAATCGTAGCATTATGGAAGAACAGGAAAATATTTTCGAGGTGACACTTACCCAAATCTCCACCTTAAGGATGTCCTTTGGGTAGGTCTTCACCATCTGTGATATAAACAGTTAACTTAATATGTGAAAAAATGTATTTTACTTAAACATCAAGGAACAAATGTGTTGTGAATAATATTTTGTCTAAATTGACCATCTAAGTTATGTGTTTGTTATGTGGTTGCGGAATATATTTATTGAGTCATGTATTATTTATTATGAAATCAATATGTAATTTTACAAACCTCTATGTATTAATCTAGTTTCACAGTTGTGGTTTAAGTAAGTTAACATTCTGTTGTAAAACTAGCACTCACCTTCTTGATTTAACCCTATAACTCTCATGAGTGACCAAGACAGAATTTCTCCTTACAATATCAATACAATATCAACCAGATAAGTGATGAGAATAAAGGAAAATATCAATTTGGGGATTATTAGTTGATCCAATACTAAATTCTCTGAACTAACATTATAAGAATTGTATGGTTGATAGTAAGGAGAATTACAAATTTGATCTGGGAGTTAAAGAGTTAAATGCAGACCATATGTGGGAATAAATAAAAATGTCTCCATTTAACTTTTGTAAATGAGTTTGTTACAAATCTGCGGTTATAAAAATCTTAATAAAGTAATTCTAAGTAAGTGTTTAAGTGCCTTGGCAGACATCATTCAAGAGTATGTGTGAGTGTTCATTTGAAATGGCAGTTTTAAGCATGCAGTGTACCTTGGTCTGTGATTCAAGAGCTTTTTTTTATGGTATTTGAGGCTTAAAACTGAACCATAAATTGTTTGTTTACAACACATAGGTTGAAAGCTCGCTTTTTTGAAAAACAAACAAACACCGATAGTGGTATTAAAAAAAAAGTAGGAAGACATTCGAACCTTTATTATAGTCAGGTATGACATGAAAAAGCTTTGAAATATGAAATATGAAATATGAAATATGAAATATACCAGATTCTGGCAAGGCTGGATATCTAACAGGGGTCTTCAGAACTGGTCTTAACCCTTCAACTCCCAGACCAAAATTGAAATTCTCCTTACCGTTGAGCATACAATTATTGGATCAACCAATTATCCCCAAATTGATAGTTTTCTTTATTCTCCTCACTTTTCTGCATGATATTGTATTGATATTGTAAGGAGAAATTCTGTCTTGGTCACTTAAAGGGTTAATCAAGTAAATTTGAAGGTTTTGAGTTCACTACGAATGCAGTCAATCACTTCAGACTTCCAAGGCCTTTCAGATGCATCGCTATCGTCATTGGACGCCTTGTTCTCCTAGGGAAATCTTCTGGCTCGAGGCGACACGGTTTTACTGTTTGTTTCCCGGCAAGGTTGAGCTCAATGACGTCACGCAAGATGGCGGCGTTGTTGCTCGATTTTCGAGCAAGGATTTCATATGATTAGGATGCGCTTCGGAGGCTAAAACTTTGTTGAGTATTCAATCTTTGCATTAACTTTTTGTTGGTGAAAAAAAAAGTATGCTTTTCTGAACCCTACTTCTCCTTTAAAATGTCCTCATTAGCAGCCCCCCTTACTATAATTTCCTCTTAGTCAGCACGACTGTTATTCGCAGCCAACTCTATTGGCTTAAAATCCTCTTTATTTTCCTTTATGGCTAGTACACCGTCTGCAGTTGTGCAGGATGTCTCCCTGGTGTTAGCTGATGCGAAAATACGCGCTCCGTGGACGGCAGAGCGCGGGCTGAAAGCAGCTCTCAGCCCGCGCTCTGCTGTTTTTTCTCGCTTGTTCTATTTTCTGTTTCAGTTGATTGCGCACTTCACGAGATTCATCTGTGTTAAACCTGTGTGAGGGTGGGCGATTCAACTTTCTACGTTTCGAGGGTGCGCGACCCTCCCTACATTCAGGTACAAGTGTATTGAACAGTTTTAATATTTTGTGTGGATTTTCCACTGCATAGATGATGTGAATCAATTTTTCGCATATATTCCTGTAGTGGAATATTGCGTTCACAACAAATGAACTTACAGCGCTGAACAAACCTCTCAGCGCGAATGTTCAGGCGGGCGTGCGGGCCGTCGTGATCACCAATGCCTGCGCACGGTATTACATCAATGTGGATGACGTATCTATTAAGTTTACCTGGCAAATCCAAGCACTGGTGTAGTGAGGGGGTATTTAATCGTAGCAAGTCTGTGTCTACGTCCCCCATTAAAATGAAAAGCCGTATTAGGAGTTGGTCAGTTTCTAACGGTAGATTTTCCATTTGCGCAAGCCAATCTTTAGTTTTTTACTCTCGGTTCAAAATTTCTAAATTTTCCCGAATAGTAAGTTGCGGTGCTTGTTTTGGCCTTGCATTTCTAGCCAGAGATGTCCTGTGTCTTTGCGCTGTTTCTTTTTAATCGACTCCTTAATGCAAGCGCCCACTCCTCCGCCTCTGATCTCATCTCCATTTCTAAATTCATTGACATATCCAGGGGTAAAAACGTCATCCTTCAACACGTCTCTTTAAAGGTCACTGGGTGAGGCAGGCAATTGAAGATCAAAGTCATTCCCTCTCCGGTTATTCCAAGAGAAATGCCAATTTCTTTTTATTTTTGTTCGATTTTTTTTTCGTCAAAACTGGTGAGAAAGTTTATTTTAAGTAACTCATTAAGATCTGTTTGAAAGTTAATTAACTTTGATTCTTTTTTCGCCTATCGTTTAATTCAAATTCACAAAAAAGCAACTCAGAGGCGAATCTAAGAATAGGGTGGAGGGGGGGTAACCCCCCCCCCCTTTCCCACTAGACCCGTGGGTTTACGTGTTTGACTCCATAATTCTTGCAATAACAGGATAGCACATTAATTCTCAGTATGAAAAAGATATTATGATCAGTTTATATTCTCTTAGTTGAAAGTAATAAAACTTAAGAAATATATTATAGTTTATTTATACTATATATATGTATGTAATGTACGTATGTATCTATATGTGTATGCATGTATGTGTGTAAGTATGTGTGTGTGTGTGTATATATATATATATATATATATGTATATATATATTTTGTGGGAGGAAAAAGACAAATAAACTACCAGTTCATCCCTAAAGACCTGTTTCGTGTATAATCCCCTGATGAGTGGGCAACCACGAAACAGGTCTGTAGGGATGAACTGGTAGTTTATTTGACTTTTTCCTTCCACAATATATACATCGCTCTACTCCTATGTATTGAGCACTGTCTTACGTAAGTCAAAATTACTCTTTATATATATATATATATATATATGTTGCGATAGGGAAAAAAACAGACTTTACTTTCATCAGAGTATAGTCTCTCTGTTTTTTTTCCCTATCGCAACATATATCGTGCTCTACTTCTACGTATCGATCACTGTAAACGGAACAATCAAATATACATATATACATGCACACACATACATATATATAGTATTAACAAGATAAAAAGATATGTTGAAGGAATATTTTTTGCTCTCTTCCTGTGGCGTACCCAATGCAGTGGACACGGGCTGTTGTGCACTGGAGTTGATGGAGATCCAACCACAGTGAAGGAATCGAAGAGACACAAGTTGATCCAACAAAGTTTAATGCTATCGTCTGAATATCATACACATCCAGTGAAAACTAAAAAGGGGAAATTGCAATGTGCAAGATGAAAAAAAAATGTTTTAAGGCTAAAGAAGCGAAGTCGAAAGGAAAACGAAACTAAATACGATTAGCTGGATCTTCCGTCTGATCCTGTCGTTAAGGTTAAAGAAACTGTAACTTTTACATAACCTGAAAAATCTTAAATTTAAAAAAGAAAAAACTGTGATCTAACTCCGTCGATCTTCTAACTCCAATTCTCTCAATAACGAGCGTACCAATATAAAGGTATAATATACGCGTATAATTGTAAGCTGGTTTACAAGGAATGCTAGCTACGTAAGTAATTCAAACTTTGAACAAAAGTATCTAGAAAATAGGGGCATAAATTCGACAAGGAAACAAAACAGAACTGTTACTACTTTAAATCAAAACGAAGGCAACTATGCAACCAGGGTCCTCTTTGAATGTTCATTACACTTCCAATATCCTTGTCGATGATCTCAACCAAACTTGTAACACATCTCACACCTAGAATGAATAATTGACGAAATACGTAAGTTAAAATGATAGTAGGACTGTGTGGAGTCCAATTCGGTCGGTAATCATACGAGTGATTTACAAAATCGGACGACTGGGAAGTGGCAGTCTATAACAGTCTATTTATCCTCTCGTGTGGGAGGTTAGTGAAATTCTATTCAATGAATTTAGCCACCATACCTGGTCGTTGTGTAGAGTCATGTACTTTCCATGTCCAGCGGATTCGGCCATCTCAAATCCTTGAGACACTTGAGCTGTAGGCATGGCTCCAGATGCAGGGACCTGCATCACCTGTGGTTGACCTCCCATGGCTCCAGCTACAGGCACCATGATCATTTGAGGCTGGCCTCCTTGTGGAATCTGAGATTCAGTTTGCACTGCACCTAGACCAACAGGGTTTTGCACTGGAACTGTCATAGGACCACCAGGCCCATAAGTCATGGTTGGTTGCATCATGTGTTCATATGTCTACAAATGACAAAGAGGAGGATTTTTATCCACGCAGATTTAAAATTTCACTTCTAAGTGATCATTAAAGAAACCTTAAATGCCTTTCGTGGAAAATGAGTCAGGGAATCGCATGTTTATCCTGGCAGCTTATTGCATAGACTTCCCATTCAGTAGGGGAACCTTCTGGTAGGAGAAGCAGACAAAATTGACTCAACTCAAGATGAGATCTCAGTGATTGGTCGGTTTCGATACGTCGGTAAAGTCAGGTCGTTCTCTTTGGTTCTTTTGTATTTCAATGTCGTGAATAAGTGCCTATCATCTTCAAAAGGAAAATTTGTGTGTCGCTCTTTGTTGGCTTGAGTATCAATGAGGCATTGAATAGTTTTGGTTGTATCTCGGTGTACACTCGATTGCATAAACGTTGGTCAAAGCATTATCCATGAGCACTGAGAACCATAGGATTTAGGTGAAATGTTCGAATGTTGGCACAGTTGCATGATCAGCCTTACATCTTTTCATCATCCCTGGCAAATCTTTATTTTTGATAATTATATTCTTTTAGGAAAGCACTCTGAAGTTCTTCCATTTACCACGTGCAACTAAGAGGCCATTTTCGAATTTCCTTTTTTTCATTTTCAAAGTGAGTCGTGAGGCTCATCCTCTCATATGATTATAAGTTCTCATTCATATGCAAATTAAACTTGTTTTCAAGTTGAGCACCAGGCCTCGTTTTGAAAAAGGGACAAAAATTAATTCGGTATTGTCCTATTGTGGTTATCATGTACATGTGTGCCCATAAAGCCGTTGAGTTTAATTGTTCATCGGCTAACGCATTTTAAGTGCCAACGTTTTTGAAGTCGAATGTATATCGTACATGTAAAATGATATAACTACTCTACTTTTTATCATTTCTCGATGGATCTGCCGAGACGGTAGCAAATGCGTTTCATACATTTCCTCGTCGTCATACACAAAACAACTTTGTGAAATCGCAACATGTTGCACAGTCTGAAACGGGAAACCTGACATCAAATCATTTACATTGAGCGCTGTGCCACGTTTTTGTATTATACCTTTAGGAAGAACTGTATAATTTTATAATTACATAAAGTGAATTGCGGAATAATTAGGAGAAACGAAGGTTATTTTTCAAAGGATTTTTTCCCAGCTATGGCTGTCTTGACATCCTAAACTCTTAAAATGCGAAGAATGGAAACTATGGTCGCCGGTTATTTAAACAAAGTTTAGCCTTTGTTTGACAAAATCGTGTTCTAAGTCATCTTCAATTTAGCCGAACCTTTTATCTGATCAATTGCTTCATTGGGAGGGCCAAAAGCCAATAGTGAAAGGACGGACATGAATTCAATTCAATTTAACATTCCTGTAGAAAATACCCAGGGCCCACTGTTTGCACAAAACTGCGGTTTGGGTTAGACTTCGTGTAAATAACCGGCCCTGGAGAAGGCTTACCTGTTGAGACTGCGCGTGACTGTTGCAACACGCACACACCTTCATGACGCAACAACAGATAGCTGCCCAGATTCCCAACAGAAACTCTAAAATCCCGATGAACAGAATGATGCCAGTGATTGACAGTTCGGCTTCATAGACCAAATAGTAGGAGTCGTAATAATCTTTGTAAGAACTTGAGTTAATTGCAATGTAATCGACCAAATAGTAGGAGTCGTAATAATCTTTGTAAGAATTTGAGTTAATTGCAATGCTGTAGAAAGTAATGATCAGTCCACCAAACACAGCTGAGGTGATGGAGAAGCCCATGAAGACACTGGCCTATAATTTAATGAGAGATGTTACTGTTACCGAAAAACGATCTCGTCTCGTGATTTAAGATTTAACAGAACGCGGTTGTGATTGGGAAGTTGTTAGACGTCATTGATGTCAATCTTGGACTCGCATGGACGCGTCCATTCTAACAATAAAACCTCTATATGATCCTAAACATAAAAAAAAAATTAAGGGAGAAAAAACCTAAAAGAGTCTTGCTGATGGTGTGTGAAAATAATGCCAAAATAAAGGGGAAAATGTCCACAATATGAATCATGCAATTCATGGTTTTGTATGATGCAAAGTTTGGTTGGCTCTCACTTATGATCTAATGGAGGACAGAAGCACATGTGACGTCACCTATAACAAAGGTTTATCTTTTAATCATCTTTAACAGATAGATTCCGTTTTGTCGTGAGTCAGTGCAGTAACAGATCACAGAAGACGTGTGTTACTGGTGTTGTTGCCATATTATTACATCTACGGTCATTTTACTGTATGGCAACATGGAATATCTGCTAAAGTGAGAGTGCCAGATAGATGTTTATCTGGAATGCGGCCATTACAAACATTTAAATAAAGATTAAGAGAGGTCAACTCACAAATATATCTCGGAAGTTAGTTTGCTCCTTGCGAGTACCAGCAACACCCAAAATTCCTGTGATACCCATCTAGAAATGAACAACATTAACAAGCTGGAGTATGTTATGAAAAACAATGGAAGTGTCTAAGAAAAACTTATCAAATTTAATGTGCAGAGGGGAAGGATCAGATTATTTCATATCATTTTCGTGTTGACTGAACAGCCCTTTTAATTCACCTAGCTTAAAAATTCGGCTTCTCGTAATTTTTGGATAATGGTGTTTGGAAAAATTGCTCCCAGTGTAAAGCAGACAAGACATTGGAATAAAGGAGCAATGTGTTACGAAAGTAAGGATCCTATACGAAATTGTTGTTATCTCACTTTCTTAAGGATTATTTTCACTCGCCGCCTAAAAATTATAGACATTTACGTTGGCTATAATGCAATTGTGTAAAGTGTATGAAGCGCTTATTTATTCCTTAGGAATGCCCGGTTCAATAGTTGCATTTCAATACGTGAGATGGATCTTTCTTCCGGCATGGAAAATACAATTTCGCAGCCAAAACAATCATATCACAAATCTTTCTTCGGGTAATCACACGGCGAAAATTTTTCATGACGATCCACCACAATTTTTTTCATGTTTACTTGTGTCAGCTGCCAAATATGTATTTAATACTATGTCTAAAGCCGCTGGCCGAATTGGCGTCGAGACAATAAAATGCTGGGTTTCTTTTCATTAGAAATAAAAAGTATTCCCGGTTAAACTATAAGGAAAACATTTCCGGGATTTCGTACAGGCCTGTTGGATCAGTCCCTGTATCTCCTAATTATTCAAAAAGCACTAGCTGGTTTGGTGTCCAAAGAGTATTTACATGTACCTTGCGATCAATTTGATTCAGATAAATTTGATTAAAAGAGCTTCAGAGATTCGACTGGAGACGATCGAGTGAAAAAAGTTAAATGATTACCGTGCAGATATTGAATAAAAGTTATCCAGACAGGGAAGACTTAATTTCTGTCCATTTTACTTCAGAGACTCGCTATATCTGCACCCGAATGCTTCCGACGACAATACAAACCGCTATGCTCAACGATTTCTGAAATCTTCTCATTATAACATAGCAGAACACAATGTGAAAATATGAGTCATTTTCGACAAACAGATGAAGTAACAAGCTCAACTGCACTATAGATTATGCTCAATTATGTCGACTTATTTAAATGACGTACGATATAGAAGTCGCTACTTGTACCCTTAACTCACCCATAAACCGATCCAAATTCCAAAACATATGTAGCCTGTGAAAAAGTACCGAGTAACATAGTCTGCGATACCAAAACAGACGAGAACAAAGCCCAGAAAAATGTGTGCTATGGCAAGAAACCGCGCCACAGAAGTTGCCTGTGCTGAGAAGTCCGCCATATTTGCCTTTCAGATTCACTCTTTAGACGATTTGAGCTCAGGTTCCCTAGTGAGTGACGTCACTCACGTCACGCTAATTCAAAATGAAAGCCTCTCCTTTCTCAGAGTCTAGCGATTATAAAGAGCGACTCAATTTACGAACCGGTGCTTGAACTGACTTCGAAAACCAAGAGTTCTCGTCTTCAACGAAAGTGGAGTCTTCTTTCTTCCCGTTTGTTCTTATTCGAATCAGACGTGTTTGTCTGGGTAGCTATGTTGTTCCTGTGCGGTTTTCGTAGGGTCACCAATAATACAATAGTCAACAGAAGGTCAGATCGTCTGGTAAAACAAGTCGACTTTAAAAACAAAGAACTGATTATCATGCTTTTGTATTGAAGAAATTTTTCATGCGTAGCGTGCTTATAGCGAGGTATTAATGCATGCACAAAGAGCACAGGAACCGTGCGACGGAGAATTGATCGAGGTGCCGTGTTCGATACCTCGACATACGCATAGCTAAAAGCAATTATTTCGTAACGTAGCATACACATAGTCTGCGTGAAAAATAGTTTCCTCTTTTGTAATCAGCTGCAATTTTTTCACGTTGCACGGTTAAGGAAAACTGAGGATTTTATTCAATGGCCAAAATCGCATTCAAGCGAGAACTCTCTAACAGGTTTATCAAAAATTTCCCTTGAAAATTCGTCTTTAAAAATTTGCTTCTTTCGATGAATCACGGAATATGTGGGTAAAAAAAGTTGTGGTTAAAATGTTTGTTTGGTAAAATTCAGATCCCAAGGAAGGGTTTCGTTTGTTTAACTTGCATGACTGTTTGTTTTGACGTAGTAAATTAGCCATGGATTGGGTCAACCGTTTCAGGGTGGACCTGGGTATTTCCAATGATACGTAGAGGGAACGTTTGAGGCCGCTGCTCCTGAACCCCTGGTGAAAATGTTCCAACATCAGTGGTTCTTTCGAGTTCCTCTTTAAATGGAATAGATACGAGAACTCGTAAAAGAAAGAAAGTTGTTGTGGAAAAGTGTCCAGATTCATTTTGTTTGGGAGTGTAGGTCTCGTGGTAAGAGAAATATAAAGTGATAATAATCATAAACATACACAGCACTATGTCTTCATTTTTCGTCCCAAATGTTAAAGATCATCCACATTGTATGGCAGATGTAGAGTGCTACATCTTTTTTTTTCTCTTTTAAACACTCACACGTTCCACTTTCCATAATTTTAGAGGTGCTGGAAAGCAACATACAAATTTCGAGAGCAGCGATCTAACTTTTGGTTGGAGCGATCTAATCATGGTGCGATCTAAACTTTGATCGGATCAACACAATTTAAATGATTTATACCCATGGAAAGTATTCTGTAGATAAAAAATAAAGCGAGGCTGACGATGTAAAATTGGTCCTCAAAAAAGGTCACGTGCTTAATTAGTATCAGTATCCATAAGTTTAGGAAATATATTTAAATAACTTTTCTTTTTAGGATTACTCTTGGTTAATAACGATCCTATCCATATGCTTTCGTTAAACAATACTTCAATTCTGTAGCTAATTATTGTCAACTTACACAGATTTTGTGGTCCCTCCGACTTGCAAAAACACCCACAATTCCAGTGACTAGCATCTGCACAGAAACAGATTAATACCAAATAAGGTAATATCATCATTAGTACATTGAGTTCCTTGTTATTACAAGAGCAAAATTTTCATTCAATCAATTAATTTTTTTAATCCACCTTGGTTCTTTATTGCCGATTTTTGCTGGGTTTTCGATTTTTTATCAGTGTTGTACTTGCATTTTTCTATCTGTAACATCATGTAGTTTATAATCCATATTTAATTTTAGGAACCAGTCAGTTGATATCGATATTGCTTTAAGTGACAGTAATATTCACTGGCAGATATAGGGCTTACACACTAAATTGGATTAGGAAGTATTTTGGGGAATCCTTTATCTTGGCAACGAAGTCTTCTTATTAACGACGAATCCACAGTTTTCAGGGGGAAAGAAATGATCCTGGGTCAAACATACACGTTAAGTTTCCTTTCGTAGAAAACCCGTCATCCCTCGCTTACCATTAACCCAAACTGAAAGCATTAAGAAAAGCTAAGCCAACAGAACAGGTGACTCAATCGAAGCCTTTACTGAATAGCGAGCTGTCAGTATAATTTTACACGATAACTTCCTCAAGCTTGTTTCGATTGGAAGTTTGAATATAGCACATAGCAACAGAGAGGAAAATTTTACGCAGCATTACTCACCCAAATTCCGATCCATACCCCAAAGTAGTAAGTTTCGCCTTTCGAAAGAAAGTATCTCAAAAAAACATTCGCTTTGGAGGTAACCTGAAACTCTGCTATTCCAAAAATTGTCAGAAGAATGCCAAATACAATGTGCACAATTCCGAGATTTCTCAGTGACTCAGGGCGACTTGTCATTTTGGCGAAAGGCAAGTGAAGGCAATTAGTGTTTGAATCGTTGTCGTCAACATAAATAATGTAAACAAACGAAGTCATAAGTGTTTTCCCAATGTTAATTTGCATAACAGGATGTGCAAGCATTGAGCCGAAACTACAACTTTTATTAAAAAGTTATTTGTCGCTCTAAGAACATGAGTTATGATTTGTGAATCTATATATCCTCATTTAGAAAAAAAATTCAAGATCTACAGAGCAATTCCTTGGAATTTTTGCCACCCTCACTCTTTCTGGAATTTTTATGAAAGAAAAAAAAATTTAGGTACGGTCAATATTGGTAATAATGGTTTATGGTTCAATTCTTCACAAGAGGCCCAACCACTCCAAACAGAGACCACAAAGATTCTGAACAAAAAACATTCGACTAGAGAGGAAAAAAAACACACATTATCTATTGGCAACTTAAAAATTTGATTGAAGGAAATTGAACCCTAAATATTTTGACATTAGAGTATTGTTTGTCTTTTCGATTCTAAACACCGCTAATTATGAAATGAGCTTCTTCAACTTTTATCAAAAAGATTAATTCTCAAGTTGAAACTACTAACGTTTTCTTTAAAAAAAAAGTCTTTAAAACGATTGTTAGATAATAAAGGATGAATTTATCATCTTTTAAAAGATGACGGAAACGTCAAGGATATCATGACGATATGAATATAAACCCTTCGACTGGCAGAGCAGTGCTTGTAGAAATGCACCTTAAAATTCAGTTCATATGGTCGTAACCCCATTTGAATTTACAAAACTCGGCATCTACCGTTACTCAGCAAAAGACGCGAGAAAGTTAATTCCGAGCTTTAAATTTGCGTTTGAAAATGAAACGAGCACCAACGTTTTACAGTCACAGACTTGGAAATTACCGGGAGTGAAACCCAAAACAGAACGGGCTAAAAGCAAAGAAGGCACGCCAGTGATGATATGGCGCACAGTTTAGGTCAGTAAAATGACACGTTAACCGTGTTAAATGACACAATAACGGTGTTCGCGTATTAATAATTAAGGTAAACGGCCTTCGAAAAAAGACAAAAACCCATCCGCAATCTTCAATTGGCTATGAAATTAAGATACCATTCGTATTATTCAACGCTCTCTGAGGCAATAAAATGGCCACAATTATCTATGTTCTATAAGAAAAAACTGCTCAACTATACTTTTGGATCGATTGCTTCCGGCAAACGTTTTTCATTAACGAAAAACAATTAAATCGCTGGATAAATATATACACGATGCGAAAGTACAACAATGGCAGAGTAGACACCCTGGAGGAATGCCGCGCAATTTTATTTCATTAATTTTTGTGCTTCAGATGAAATGAAAAAAAATATTTATACATACATATATATACACTTCTTTACATGAACGCCTTAGCGTCGCTGCCTCTCATTGACGAATTTTGTGACCAATTACATAAGTTCTTTCAACTGAAATTAAGTTTTCTCTACTTTGTATTCTTAAACGTATCCTGCACAATAGCTTCTTTTCCCTCAAGGTAACAAAGTAAAACATGTATTAATTATGCGTTTTATCATATATTTTAATGTCATTGTGCCTCACCATCTCTAAATTCCTTCTTTATAATGGAATTATTGCTAGGTCCCTTAACAGATTAGGATTGTTAGAGGCTATAAAAAGGCAAACAAACCATTACATGAACATAACATAGGGAAGTTTAATAAGATGTCACTTCTGCGACATGTGATGAAAAGTTGCTGACAAAGCATAATTAATTTTCCCCCAAGACTTTTGCCAATAGCTCTTTGCGTTCAACGTTTCTGACGAGGCTTCTTATTGGTTACCTTTTCATTCATCGACTCTTTGCCTCAAATGAAATAAATTTTACTTTTTTTTTCCCTTTTATCCCAATTTAAAAGTTCTTCCGTTTGGCTAAACATCCTGGCCGAAATGCTTTCTTAAGGTAGAGTCGGAAATACCTCATTTGCATGATGTAGATCATCACATTTATGGCACTATTGGAGAAAGCAATCAATGCACTTCCAGAACGCACAGCCAAGTCTGTTTTGAAATCAAGGCGATGGTCTGTCTTTGTTACGTTGTTATACACAACTAAACCATAATAAAATAAATAAGGAAGAACAAAAGCCAAAGTAAGGGTCACGATGATTGTGATACCTCGAATTGCGGCAGCTCTGCGGAATATCTTGATGGCGTTGTCTCTTTGAATGTGCATTCTCCTTCCTTTTACATTTGCCCAGAGAGTTTTGATGAGTAAGACATTGATGACAACTGTTATGAAACCTGGTATGATATACTGGAGAGTTGTAAAACTTAATAGCATTATTCTAAATGGAAAATAACTATCGTCATACCTGCAGACCCAAGTGTAATGGGTCTGGTTCAAATCGAACCTTATATCTTTGAAAGTCGAAGCAGGGATCAAGGTAAATAAAAATCCTGCGAGCCAAGAAAGCTTTACCACCATTTTCACAGTGGAGAGACAAGAATGACGAAAAATTCCTCGAGTTATCATAAACCTCTCGATGCTGAAGAAAAGCAGGTTATTCATGGTGATCGAGGTGAATACAATGTTTAAGTAACGCACTATGTTACAACTCCAGCCTTGATTGAATACATCAAAATACAACTGAATGCATACGGGTGGAAGTGAGATAACGGTGCACAAAACATCGGAAATAGCAAGGCTCTTGATGTAGACATCGCAGTTATTTTTAAACGACCAGGCTTTGACAAATGGCGCTGTTTTCGCTTTGGACTTCAGAAAGCACAACACAAGAACATTTCCCACAAGTCCTATCACTCCCACAGATACAAACAATACAAACAGTATCAGCCTCTTTAAAGACCCTAATGGTACGTACATAAAAGTTTTGTCCGTGCATCCACTGCCATTTCTTGAGGTAGACGGATCAATCGGAGTAGAGATCACTGGTTTGGAGAAGTCAGATGTCAGATCCACGCATTGGGTATTGGCTGTCTGCATTAACAACAGCAACCTGCGCGGAAAAATGATGGATCAAAGAGCTAATGGATTCAATATCGTGATTAATCCTGAAAGTGCCACGCTTTGAAACCTAGCGCATGTTGTAGTTCATTATCGATTCCTCTGTAGCCTTGAGATAAAGCAACAGAGTGCGAGATACAAACTTCTAAAGTTTGATTTCTCCTGACGGACTCTCTTTGCTTCACGCCCGTGACATAGCAAATAAAAACTTTTGCTTTCGAAGAATTTTCCATTGAGTGTCAAAAGTAATCAGGGATTACCTTGATTTTACTTAACTTTATTTTTACTGGTCTAGAAGACTTGCGCGATCCTCTCAACCAATCAATAGTGAAACTGAAAACAATCGCGAGTGGGTCATTCTCGTTTTCCCGCGCTTCGAGCAATTTGGTTTTTTTCAGTTTGACCGCTCATTGGCTAATGATAATGTAAACATTTGTTTGGATTGATCGCTGCGTTTACTTTAGTTTTGGTTTTTCGACACAGTTGAAAACTGTTTTTGAAAGAAATTGCGACTTGGTTCCTATTGCTGATAACTTAGGCATAAGCTCAAAGGTTCTACAATGGTACAATCGGAACAATATTATAAAAAATACGAAACAAACAAAACAAACAAACAAACTACATTAAAGCAGACTCATTTGTAGAGGTGCTTCAAGCCTTGACTACATAAACGATGGATGAAAACAAGGAGTTTCATGTAAACGATACACCAGAAATGATAAAGGGAATGTAAATTTAGCAGTGTACACTACACGAGGTGGCTCCTTCCTGTCCAATGTTTTCTGGTCTAATTGAAATTGATTTGGGATGTTAGAGGAAGAGAATCGAGGAGGTCACGGAGAAAAACTCTAAAAACGAGGGAGAAATATTCAGAAGAAATATTCAATACTAACCAATATGGAACAAACTGAGAGAGAAATGCAGCTATCAAAGTCAATTTTACTCACCGTGCTAAATGAAAAAACTTTGTCCTCTGCATTTGTTCTGTGTGTTTACTCACTGTGAAAGTTGTATCAGGCTATCATGAGTCCTTATCAAGTGGTACATATCATTTTGAATGCGACAAAATACTGCAATGGTAAACAAAACACTGCAATTGTAGATTAAACGTGCGAATGCAATTGAATAAAACTGGATTAAAAAACTAAAAGGAACAATGCATTGTCTCAGTCCTTCCCGTGAGTATCTATATACGATGGGAAAGGTTCTCTTCTGTTTTTTTCAAGCCAACGTCTGCTATTCTTTTATCTAGGAAACAGTCTGTATTGGCAAGGTTAAATTAAAACAAGCGGCATGATAAGACACTGAAACAAGCCGTTCTGCGAATTAATATTCAATCTCACTGTCGCGAGCTAAACCTTGAAAGAGGAAATAACTACTAATGGTTTTGTCGATATCAATGCTATGTCGTTAATCTGAAAAGTTTACTTAAAACTCGGCACAAATTAAAAACACAAATTGATCATTACGCCATTTACTCCGAACTTTTCACAGTACTCGGCGTGCCTTTAAGCTTTAAATAAAAGGAAAGGGAAAATTTGGAAGGGGGCTAATTTTCATTTTTACAAGAAATTAGCAATTCGATTCCCTGAAGAGTTAGATTCGTTTTCTTTTATAAAGTGTCCTTTAATAAAATGCCACTTACCGGAGGTTTCTTTGTTGAAAATGGAGATCCTTTTGCATAGAGATGATACTGCAAATTAATTCTACCGTATCGACGTATCGATGCACCAGATAGTTACCAGAGAAAAAGATATGTAACGATGCGATTGTTAGTGTGTCTCCAATTGAAAGACGTTTCCAGTATGATTCCAGAATCCTCAATGTAACTGCTTGCGCTGTATGACCGTGTTGAGGCTCACTCCCACCACAGAGTATTTTGCGGTTTAACTTGAATTGCGTGCAAGAAATGTTGTTGATACTAAAGCGAGACTAAGCGATTTCCAGCTGTGTTCAGCTTTTTTCACATCAAAATGGTATTTTAATTCGCCCGCTTCCTTGAAAACTCAAAGGAATCTATTTATTGCGGTCGGCATTCAGTCAACTTTTCAGAAAAAAGAGGCCCCGCGTCTGCAGAAATGACATGATCAAATCAAAACATTCTAATAAAAACAATGCATATAAAACGCAAATATAACTATCATACTACAACGTAAAGGGCTGGATTTGGTTAGTTGAATGCTGACAAAAAAGCTCAAACCGAAAAGAGATATCCAAGTCCCGGAAGATTTCAATTAATTATAGATACATGGGTTTTATTTTCTTCGTAAGAAGGAAGGTAAATACGAATTGTATATAATGATCCACCTACCTGTCTCAGTGGTTATAGATTTTATATATGTCTTTTATGGATGTTGTGACATGAAAATTGAATTTGAAAAACAATCAGAAAAGGAAAATCTTCATGCAAGATACTAAGATGAATAATAAGGAATCTAAGTCCACAGGAGAATAATTCCTAAATTACAGAAAACAGTCTGATTAAAGATATCTATGGGTAATTTTTAAGATGATAAAAGATCCTGTCTAATAAAGCCCTTTAGATGGTGAAAGTGGCCGGAAAAACATTGGAATCCAACAGTTTGTAGGCGGAATTTTATAAGTTATTTTGTCATGATATCAGGAGTAATTTCAAAACTTTATTTTTTCGATTAATCGAGTTGTCAAAATGTAGACAGAGATATATACCTAATTGCAAAAACGTTGTCACAGGAAGAAGCAAGAGCAAAAACAACAAAGTAGAAAACTAGCATATAAATTCGAATTTGGCTTTTAAATTTTATTCTGTTTCTTTGTTTCTGTGAAAAGATACCCGTGAAATAGGGAGAGGTGATTAGCCACATATACAAGTGCTTCAATTGCTTGTTACTCGGTCCTAAAACTCGACAATTGAGGCGGAATCATTAGTTATGAATCCTAAAAGTGTCATGAATCTTCGTAGTCAACCCTAACCAAGAGAATATGATATTCTTTAGGACCTAACCCTTATTCAACTTTGTATCATTTAGTTATGAAAAAATGAAAATGTAAAAAAATTTGAATCATCAATCAGCGGGCGAAAAAAGAGAGGGGTCATGGATTTCATCGTAAAATGATCACTCTTCCAAACCTCAACTCAAGATTACTGTTACAATGTTGTTAACAATTCTCGCAGTTTTCACCTATGGCTTTAGGTGTACACAGGCAAATGTGTCTCTTGTCTATGAATCCATTGAGACATGTTGCACCGTGGGCACAGGGGTTGCTGGAACACAGATTCTAGTGAGAAAACCAAAAGGAGCATTCTCATTCCCCAATTTGAACACTAAAGGCCACCTATTTAGACCAGGTCTAACGCAAACCGCGGTTTTATGCAAGCAGTGAACCTCAACGATTCTCTATGAGAGGGTTGGAAACATGCGGCACAGCTTGTAAAAATGCTTTGCAATGTTACACACAAAACGTCTTATAAGGTATATTCATCAACCATAAATTACGCGACAACAGCAAAAACATCATCGACAGAACTGGTCGTCAAGTTTAATAGCCGTTGTGGCATTTTTTGATAACCTCTAAAAAAGGATAATTTATTTAATTACTGACTGAGCTCGCTAGGGCCGAACGGAAAATGATTGACTCCTAGTCATAATAAAAGGGACTAAGTCAAACCACGAGTGGGACGGCAACAAGAATGTGACAAAACAAATGTCTAATGGGCAGAAAAATTGCTCCGCACGTGTCTTTCAAAGCTTTATATATTTCTTAGCCGTCCTGTGTAAAACAACAACGTGAAATCATCAAAAACTTGCATGGTCTGAGAACTTTAACCCCGACGTTAAATGATTCATTTTTCCATGTTTAACTCATGACTGCTCCCACACGTTTTACTGAATTGAGGGGTGCGCCTTAAGAGACGGTAAACACATCCAGCCATTTGCAAACTTATAAATGAAATGTAAATTCTTTTTTTTCAATCGATGTCTTCATTGGCGTTGCCTGCCTGACAGGCCCTCGGCCCCAAAGGGGCGATTTTTTTATTTATTTTTTATTTTTTTACAAATAAGGCATTAGGATTACACGTTCCGGGGTTAAAGTTTACCTTCGCATGTTACTAAAAAGGGCAGCAGCCGAAGGGCACGATTAGAGGAAGTTTTTAATCAAACATGTGATCAAACATATCAAATCTCAACACACACCATTACAACTTTGAATTATCTCTCTTTTTTTTATTCAAATCAACGGTATGTGCTGTCTTCCCAAGGCCGTAGCCCCATTTCATCGAAATAAATCGCCATTAATGGTTCTTCTCTACGTTCTCTACTTTAGTGAGCAATAATTACAACTTATTCGATGGTTTCACGTATAATACGCGTGAATATTTTCCAATCCCCGTATAGGGCGAGGGAAAACAGAAACTGTCCGAATTTTTTGCCTGTTCTTTAGCGTAATACCGTAGCATATCTTGTACGTTCCGTTGCCCTAATGCGGTAAACTGCTAGTTTCCTTTCAGCAATGTTACGGTCACCTGACCATGCCCATCTGAGTTGTAACAACAATCATTCCGCTGATCTCTTCCCGAGTTAAACGATCCACCTCCACCCCCACAGGAATCGCTTACACCAGCCCCGCTGCTTCCTCCAGAGTACCCCCCTCCACCGCCTGCACCCCCTTTATAGTGTGTACCTCCACCACCGCCACCAAAGCCGCCAAACATAATAGGCATTGCGGCCCTGCCCCCTTTCCCTCCGTTGAGAAAAGCCTTACCACCTTCGCTGCCATTTCCTAATACTCCTCCATATTCCAGTCCACTCCTTCCATCTGAGTAAAAACCTCCGCCACCGCCACCTGAACATCAAATAATAAATATCAGTCATATAGGTATAGATAGTCAAATAAGTTCGGATTCAATTTGGTGTAAATAATCACGGTTTCAGACTAAAAACAGCTAAAGTGAACTGTTCAGTTGGAACCATCCTCGAATAAAATTCTAACAATAATTATAACTACATATTTTTTAATCGAAGTCTTCCCCTTGTTATCATTAAGATAACAATTTCCTCGATTGTGATTGGTTTGATAATTTCCTACTTTCCACTAATTCACTTGCCAAGTTGTTATTATTGGACAGTTCAATAGGCCAATCATATTCAAAGTTGTAATTAAAATCAACCAATCACAACCTTGAACTCAACAACCATAGAATCAGTGTACAGACAAATGTTCTTTGTCTTTCATAACTTGGCCATTCTTCTTTCTCGGTAATTGTAATTTTTGAGTAATAAATCCTGATAAACAAAACAGACTCCCGCTGCCAGTCGTCCGACTTTGTTATCACTCGTATGATTACAGACCGAATTGGACTCCACTCAGTTCCATTACCATTACTTATCGTCACGTTTTATTTATAATATAGACCCTGACCTGCTTTACAATCATCAACCGTCTGGGAACCATGTCCATTGCTCCCCCCCGACCATGATCTATAGCCAGGATTCCCCGTTGTGTTTGCACTGGCATCACATCCTGCATGTCTTGATTGCGGGTCGATTACACCACCACCTCCTCCAGCAATTACCAAGCAGTTGTTTGTTTCTTTGACTACAAAAGATCCACCCCCTCCACTACTTGTGCGTTCACTCTTGCCCCCCTCCTGGCCAACGAGAATTTGAATGATTTCTCCATTAATCAATACAAAAGTCCCGCTTATTCTTGCACCTCTTCCTCGATACTCGGCGTATATGCCGTCGTGCTGCTCATTGTAACCACCTGCGGCTCCAATTGCTTCTATTCTGTAGTGACCAGAATAAGGCACAGTCCAGAGTTGAATACCTCTCGACAAAGAAACTTGTCCATCGTGATCCTGACCTGCGTAATGATTGTCAAGTGATTTGGGACCAGTGCGTCCTGTTCTGTCTAGGTTTGTAAATACGGCGTTGAACCCTGAAATGTGCAGAATAACTGATCCAATAATGTACATGAAAAAAATTACGTGCTTCTTATTGGCTAAAAACGAATGCATTCTCATGTAACGCGAGTGCAAAGTTGAAACACGAGTATAAATTGCAAACATTTCGTCTATCTCGATTTTCTGCGATGTTTTGTCGCATACATTATTAACAAGTAATGATATGATTTCTCTTGCAGTTTGGTGTACTAAGCGCTTTGGAATTTTTCAAAGACAACAAACTGCATTTGCTCTACGCGCTCGTGCAATTTTGTTGTCTTTCAAAAAAATTACTCGTGCTTATTAACACTAAATTGCATTCCAAATCATGTTATTACCTATACAAAACCAATCTTGAGTGAGGAAACCTAGATGTCAGTTACCAAGGGTTAGATTTTACTAAGACCTAAGACCGTCGCGATGCGTCAATAAAAAAATACACAATGTCAGCAATATTTAACTACAATAAATGGTACGCTCTGTTACTTTTTTAATTTTTTCTGTAAATTTCATTTCTCTCTCCTTCCCCCCATTTCACTGATGTTATCAAACTGCTCACCGATTCCAGGCAATATTGTTTGGAGGGAGAAGGAGGCTTTCAAGTTTCTTTTTTTCAGATGAATTACATGATTTCTGTTGATCGGAGGGTTGTCGGCCACCGACAAATGGGTGCTGGGAAGGGGGTGGGGATCTGGAGGCGTGCGAACTACTTTTGCTACTTATCATAACTGACGTAACTTTTACCTTTTTCACATCCTTTTCCCGTAAAGCCGGATTGACAGACACATGTATAGTCCATAACCGTTATTCCAGGTTGGCATGTGCCTCCATTTAGACACGGGCTGGTGTGGCACGCGCTCTGAAACCAAACCAAAACTATAGCTTAGTCAACTTTAATCATAAACATATTTTCTTTTTGATTTAGGTTGTTCTATTAGATTTTGATAGAAGTGCTTATAAAGAAGAAACAGACTGAGTACTATAATCATGGCTACACGCTGAAAAAAGGTGATCTCCATCTTAATGCTGTGATGTAAAATACTGATGAATAAACAATGATATTGCATCAAACTTTTCTCTGTTTTTTTTTTCAATTTTATCAATTTTTCATTTAAGTTTTCCTCATGAAATCTGTATTTACCCACTCTTTAATATTGCTAAATTTCTTGGCTCTTCTCAAATGTCATTGCCCTGTTGTCTTCTAAGTAAGATTGGATTCTCAAAACTGTCCATTATCTTAAATTATGTTGGGAGAAGAGAGAGTTTTTTCTTTAATGCTTCACTTTCAGTTCTCTTTTCTTAGTTTTGTTTTTTAATAACAGTTCACCAGCAAGGAGAACAAAGAACTGACTTCAAACTGCATGGCTTTTAAAATGTTTTCTTTGCGCTTTAACGGCGCAAAGAAACGTGACGTCAGTTGTGCGACTGTACTCTGACAGATCACAGCAACGTGACGTCATTTCTGCTCCTGTAGGCGGACAGATCCTGGCATCGACCACTAGCAGATCTGATCGTCTGAATTTGGTATAAATTTGCTTACCATTGTGTTATTGAGCGGGTTGCTCCCCTCTCTGCCTCTATACGTGAATCCTTCCTCGTTCTCAAGATCTCCTAGATGTTTTATGTGGTCAGAGTTACTCAGCTGGCAAAGAAATCTGCCTTTTAAGAGACCTATATTGATGGATACACAGGTATCCTCCATTATACATAGGTTTTTACAATGACTGTGCAGATGAATAGCAGCTTTGACGGAGATATTCTTGATCACATGACCTTTAAGAGCATATCCATCAACTGTTGTAGTAAACTTCAAACGTCGACAAATACCTGATAATAAATTTGAAAGCAAAATCTTAAGGATTCTCTAAGAAAACCTGCATGATCATGCGAGGTAAGAAAAAGATATCTTATTGCCCTAAAAATCTCTTAGTTTCCTTGCTACTTTAATCTTGAATATTGATGCTGCGAGTAGTATTGTATTAAAGTATTGAAATTACTGTCAACAGCATAAGCATTATTACATTTGCAAGTAATGTTTGTATAACTAAGTGTAATGCTTTGCCACATCCTCGTTGCTGCCGCTGTCGCAGTTTCCTAAGGGTCCCTGATGAACTACTTGTGTGGCGGGTTGGGTTGCGTGCATTGGCCGCGATAGGTTAGCTTCAGTAGCTTCGGTCTTGCATGGAACAAAGTATATCAATAAGTCTATAAAGAGACTTATCGGACGCCTCACGGTCGAGTATTGAATAAATTAAGCCAAGACTTAAGCTTAGAGATGATTAAGGACCAGTTTGTTTCCATGTCGCCCAAACATCATAAATGAATTTTAACCAAAGTAGAGTTGCAACTTTGGCGGGTGTAATTTCTATGTTTTTTTTTCTTTTTTTGGTTTAATATTTTTGCGTTATATAAATCTGATAGCATTTGTTCAAAGACGTGGAACCCTGAGCATTATGTGCGCTTCTTATATGTGCTTTAAATAAAAAAAAGGGTGTTAATCTTAAACACGATAGACCAGTGGAGGCACGGTGGACAGGAGACACATCCTTCCACAGCAAATACATTAACCATTTACAGTGAAAAACTACCCGAGACGGTCGACAATTTCCAAGCGAAAAGCTAACCTCATTTTTTCGTTTTCATGTGAAATTATGATAATGCTTCTCTTTAGGCATTGCCTTTTTTCAAAGTCTCACGCGTAATTGTTTTTCCAAGTTTCATTTCTTTTCCACGTCGTAATATCAGAACAACTAATCAATCTTTATTACAATGAATGCATCAACAATGCAATATACACTTTCAAGTCAAACGAGTTCTTTCACGGCAACTTTTACCAGGACTTGCGAAAACAAATTGGTATTTATCATACAATTTTCTTACCTTGGCTTGCATTCGTTTTACGAGTAAACCAAATTCCCAAAAAAATGAAAGTAAAAGCGCAGCAATTTACTGGAAATGACCTGAGATTCATTTCAAGCATGGAATAGCACCTCATCTACACTTTGCTGCCTACGCCTGGCTTATAAGTTAATATCAAAATTCAATTATTAATGATTATCAAAATTTGCATCACTGGTACCTGGAAAACCTCGCCTTTCAGTTGGTATTTGAAGTCATTAAAATTTACCTGACGTTTCTTTGTCAATGATGACAAGAACTGCCAGGGTTGTTTAGCACGTCCGTGAGATCTTTAAAATATTGTGCAAATTGCTAAGCTAAGGAACGTTTTGTGGTAATCTGAGAATGGTATAAGACTATATCACATGGTGAGAGGCTTACTCTTTTCATACTTGATTGAACGAAAATGCAATAGGCTTTGGTATTGAATAAATAATGAATTGCTTTTTGTACTTTTAAAGCATTGACGACAGATCAAATACAGTATGAAAGTTCGGCAATGTAATTTCAAAGTGTTTTTTATATCAATCTGTTTTTATCTTTTGAATTATCATTATAATCATTATTATTATTCTGTTTTGAACACCAACGCCATTTTAGTAATTCATTTCAACATAGCTCTCATTTAAGTGTTGGGATGTCATCTCTGTGCCAGTTTGGATCGTTATGGATGGGGATGTTTAATTTGTTGACAAATAGTAAGCTAAATGAAAGCTTTAATCCACTACAACACCTTTCTCTTTAATAGTAGCCAAAAGAAATTGGGAAGTTCAAATATCTTTGTGTTTTTCATCATTTTTTACCACGTTTTGGATATTTTCCGATTGGGCAAACCAAAAAAAATCACTAGTATTTGTATTCCAACAGACGGAAATTTCCCAATTTTCGAGAATTCCACGTTATGCAGTCGAAGAAAATCGGATTTCATTTTACCTTGCATTGTTATTCGTATTCGCTATACAGTAACTTTTTGCGAACTTTGGCCTTATGTCATTCCTTTTCACTCATCCGTCGAATTACAGCTCACTTGGTCAACCTTTCCAAAAAAAATCGTCAAGTTTCCAGGCCGACAAATCGCCTGCATCATTAATAAGAAAATTTCCTTCACTATGCTTTCGGTATCTGTGTTTCTCTTGTGGTGTAAAAACACCTAAGACTCCTAAGTAACACTTCAGGTCTCGTTAGTTTTGGTTATATAATTAATGAATAACCCACATCTTTTACTCACCCGAGTTCCACTTAAGTACTGTAGGTTCAGGAGCGAGTATTTTTTTTCCGCTTTGATTCGCGGCTCAAGCGCGAGGCCTATAATCTGGTCATAGTTTCTACAATGTATTTAAAGATAACGGAACTACATTATCAAAATATAAACAAAAATATGCTATATCTGTGTATTTGTTTTCTTTCATCGCTAAATATCAGAATAAAGGGACATTGCACAACAAAAGATTATTCCGAAAGCTTTCTCACACCTTCCAGCCAAAAAGACGACATTTCCAGGGAAATAAACAATGAAAGATGATGTCCTTCAGGGAATGACACAGGTATACTCAAGAAAAAAGAACTCGGTGTGCTACAATTAGGAGTCGGAGCTACGACCGTCCGATTAGTACTTCAGATGCTCCTCCACTGAGTTGTAGGAGACTCGTGGCAGATCGTTTAACTGAGTCTATGATGACAAACTTCCTTCATGCTGCTAGGAAAGGAATGTCGATTGTGACGTGAGAAAAGCCTGTTTTTATTCATGGTAATTTGATTTGAAATTTGAAAAAATTGATAAAATGAAGTAAATATAAGGAAGAAGTCGAACTGATAGAAGCAAGCGTTGGATGTGTCAGCAGGCCTAGTAGAAAGATAACATTATTCGAACTAAGTAAAAAGAAAACTGACGTCACCAGGCTGTCTACATATGCACATGATTCCCGGAAACGATTTCGAATAAACTCTCTTTCTAGATATTTTTAAATCTAGCGAAAAAGAAAAATAAATGTGTACTAATGAAAAAAGTTAAGAACCTTTTCACCGGTTTTATATGTTAAAACACACATACACATATGCAGATTTCTTATAAACCTGTAGTTCAAGCCTGCCATGACTTCAAAATTTTGATGTACACCTCAAAAGGAGAAGAAATAAATTTCAAGTTTCTATTATTCAGTTTAGGTTTGTCAGGTAAAATTGAGTCAAACAAAGAAATTTTCACAACTAATTTATTAGGTTAGCCTACCTAGAACAATCAACTTAATGTACAAATAAGACTAGGTATGTACTGATGACGTACAAAAGAACTATCTGTGGTAAGAGGGCAAGCTTTCCTTTCTTCATTTAAAAAAAATTCCCAAGGTTATCATCTTTCCACATGCTCAGTGGAGAGTGAGAGTGAGAGTGCAAGAGACTGATAGTGACTATGCTATTTGAGTAAATATCCAGAGAAGGATAAAAGGCAAGATTATGGTCTGCACAACTTTCTTATTTTAATTTTATAACTTATCAAGCTAAGTCATTTATATTCTTGCTTTGTGCATTATGCGGATGTCAATTAATTTTACTTTCATTCAGGTCAAAGTAAAAACATGAATTAAAATAGCAGAGCCCACTTTAATTTTAGTCCTAATTGAAGAGGGATTTTTTCCTCTCCAGTTTCCCACCATTTAAAACTTACATATCTTGTGACCAATTCCTAATATCAATCTTAAGTTTGGGTATGAGTATTGATAAGAAACACCATGCATTAATGAAAGCTTGGGCGAGAGTATTTAATGCAATTCAAATAATAATATTACATGTTATAATGTGGCAACTTACACAGCAAAATTATAAATCAATCAATAATAAATCAATCAATCCCACAATTCCAAACCAGGAAATCAGGTGATTGACTAACTTGCTTCAACTTTTGAGGGCTTGAGGTACAAAGAAATAAATATGGTAAACAGTTACAATTAATACAAATTTGAAAGTTTAAAAGCTAAGAGATATACCTTACAATCATTAAATCCTATGCATTTTAGCAAAAAAGCATCAGTTACCACTATAACTTCTCCCAAACATTCATACTTAAAGGAAATCATTAACTTTTGTCACTAGGTGGTACTGTACTCACAATAGTTCTACTGACACAAATGCATTTCTCTAAAGTTATCTCATGGCTTATGACTCTACAGGTCATGTGGATAATACCTGCTTGGAGACTGACATTTCAATTACCTCAGCAAACTGTAATCATCAGAATTGCAAACCAAGGTGTATTTACCAAGTGCTTGAGTTTCAAAAGTAGTGACTTATTTGTTGCAGTGGAGTTCACTCCTTTTTGAGGCCATCTTCAGCTTGATCATCCTGTTACATGTGAAAACATCAAATGTTACTCACATATTCAAATACTTGCTTGAATCAAAGTTATAATTTTTTTAATAACCTGCTTCCTTTAACCCTTTTATTCCTGATAGTGTCAAATTTCCCCTTTCAATATCACCCCTGAATCAAACATTAGGGTTATGAGAATAAAGGCAATAATAACAAACTAAAGAACCTCTTGATTGTTAAACAAATTCTCCCTGCCAGCACATAACAAAAATGTATTGAGAACAGTAAGGAGAATATGCATACTGATGTTATGGTGTAAAGGTTTTATAATGCCCACCTACCCCTCCCCTAGCCCAACATTAACCCTCACTTGTTATCAATAGACTGTTGTTGGGTTAGGGGAGGGGTAGGTGGGCAGTTGCCCAGATGCTGATGTTGATCCAAAATATAAGGCCATTGATGGCCAAATTTCACAGTGGTTAGCCAGAAAAAAAGCAACAGTATTCAATGGAAGACTGGCAAAAGACTGCCCAGGGTAAAAAAACTGTGCACCAAATAGAAAAATGCAAATGTTGTCTCTTAACAGCACCAGTACAGAGTAGCCTCTTCAAAAAAAGGACA